GATGGCTGGCCCAAAGTGATGTAGGTTTCTCTGGAACAAATATAGCTCCGGGAAGAACCCGGCACGCGAAAAAGCATGGGATGGCGAAAGTAGCAGCGGCGCTCTATGTCCGCAGGAGGCAGGTTGATGACATTTTGAATCATCTGTTCAATCCGATCTCAATCAGAAGGTCTGATGAATCTCCGCAGTGTCGGCATGCCTGATTCGATGTTGGGTGCCCATGATTGACGATGAAATACCAAATGAACCTGTTTAATATCCAGAAGTCCAGTCTCATTGCTGAAGAGCAAAGCCACTTCCATTAGGTCTTCGTATGCATCGACAATTTCAGTATCTGAGCTCCGCGTAGGTCGCGTGCGTGTGTGAGAGGAAGCTGAAGCAACTGCAGGAGGAACTGAACCGGGCGCAGCATCTGGTGGAGGTTTCTCCTCTGGATCTTCTTTCATGGCCAGCAAGCAGTAGTCGTTGCCTCCAACAATTGGGAGTTGGTTACAACAAAGAGAATCAAGTTCTCAATTAGTAATACCTACCGCACATACCCCCATGTTGTATTTGTCTGTCCAAAAATCAAGTTGGTTTCATGTGGCGGTCAAACGTATTCACACATATCTATACATAATTATACATATATTGCACATAGATGTAGCATGTGTGCGTGTGCGCATCTGTGTATTGTGTGAGTATGACTGACTTTAGCAAAGATATACGCATGATGTGTTTTTTTGTATAATTACATGTGTGGGGATAACATCAAGATATCTACGTACTTGTCTACATTATTCTACACGTAACCAGGGTTAACCATGTAATTACTGTGGCCGCCTTGCCTATTGTGCTGGGAATTCTGGTGTGGAAGAGATCCATGGAGACGGGACCGTGGGCGCCCTGAAGGAAGACCCTCAAGCCCCGTGGAATCGCAAGATCTGCAGAAGTCTCATCGGTGTGCAGGAAATGTAGGAATCGCTGACGGCTCTCCGTGTCCAGAAAGAGGTCCAAAAAACTGGTTTCACAGAGTTTCCTCAGATCTGGTGGGGAAAAGATGAACGTTTTTGCGTTGGCCAACTCTGCGAATAGTACAAAAGTGTTATTCCTCCAACATGAAAAAAATAAAGGACCGGATAACCCCACAAGTCAACTTCTTCCAATAATCAGAAAAAGTGGTTGAAGCGGCACGGGAAAAGAAGAAAGGACAAAGGAGATGGTGAAAAATTGATCATCTTAAAAGTTGTATGTGAAGAGTTGTGTGTGACTAAGTTGTGTGTCAAAGTTGTGTATGTGTGTGAAAGAGTTGTGTCTTTCATCCCGGCGACTAATGTTGAACAAATCATCACCTGGAAAACCCCCGTTTTACACGGGAAAAAAAGATTGTTCGAGGCCATTCGGGGCTCCAACACCCCAAATACAAGGGGGGAAAATGGCTGGACAAAGATCAACATGATCCATTCTTCACCCATCCCTAACCCTGTGCCCAAAGGTCTTGTTGGACTTCAACAAGCGTTCGAGTCCACTGGCATCGTCCACAATTCTGCAGCTACTCCTGTCCAGTAGCAAATCTCCATCGCAGAGACCCCGCAAGACGTGGCGAAAACCCAGCATCAGGGATGAAGCGTCGCTTGAATCAACCTGCAGAGTTTCTGCGCATCGTTTGGGTGTGAAGATTGGGTACACCCCAATGGCCTTGGCCATTTCAAGGGGATAAAGGATGATCAACCATTTAGATGCCATATAAACTTATATAGCACATATATGAACCAGATTCGTGGCTCAAAATTGCCGAACTACCGTGCCCTTTTTGCCCAGATTTGCCAAGGGGTAGCCAAGCCATGTCAATGTGATCCATGCCTCAGCATTTTAATCAATCCATGTCCAGCATTCACCAGTCGGTTTACCTTCCCCATTCTAGGTTTGTTACCCTCTGGTAAACTAACATGGCTATTGAAAATTGCCATTTATTAATAGTGGATTTACCCATTAAAAAAACTGATTTTCCATAGCTATGTTAGTTTACCAGAGGGTATGGTTTGTTACATTTTGTTACATCGAAATGTTGTGGTGTCGTCAGATCCCCAGTTCTGGTCTTCAGCAAAAATACCCGTCACCACCTTAGTCAGAAACTGCCTTAGCCACATTGGTCGAGCGCACTGTGATGTCCACCAAAGCAATGGTGGCAGCACAAAGGATGTGTGAAGCAACCGAAGCGAAAACCATGATGGGCGTCAGGTCTTTGAAACCGATGAGATCCCATAATCTGTACATCAGCAAAACTGCTTCGAAGGTATAGAGGCTCAATGTGACTTTGCAATCAAGCAAGACCAAATTCAAAAAGCACACGGTGAAACCCAAGATCTTGTCTGTTATACAGAACAGTACTAGATCGGGGTCGTTGAATGCGGTGAGAGCGCTGGTGAAATGAATGAAGATAAAGGTTGCCCTCCAAACACGAAACTCACCATTCGAAAGAACTCTCCCGTCTGCCCAGCAATGCAAGCAATATCCCATGAGGATCACAAGAGTTTGAATAAGTAAGAACAAAGCGGGAGTGTGCATCAACCGCCAGAACGCCGCAAGGCATAAGCCGAAGCTCAAGTGAATGAAGGGTGTGTTCCTTGCGATAGCTGGCTTAGCTGATCCCCTGTTAAAAGTTGACATTCACTGCTAATACGTGACGTTTATCTATCTTTTTGCCCAAGACATAATTCAAAATGTATGGCTTATCTATTCATCCAGCTTCAAGTACATGAAATTCTGAATCCGTGTCTTCTGCAATTCCGTCTCGTATCGTCTCTGTTGATCCAGTTGTCGTTGGGACCCTTGAAATCGGACGTGTGACGGCTGTAACCAGGTCCAAAGTCTGCGAAGCACATCAGAGATATCGGGATTTCTGAAATGCAAATGTAGAGAGACCAAAAGGACCACGCCAAAGATGGCGAGGAGGTGACGAACATCAGCCTTCCACAGCGAAAAACCATCGCGGCGTCTCGGGGGCCACCCCACGTGTCAATTGATGCGATGAGTGAACTTGAAGCCAGCAGATGGAAAGTCAACTCAAGCAATGATTATCTGGTTGGTGGTTTTAACCATCTTGAAAAATATTAGTCAATGGGAAGGATTATCCCATATATTATGGAAAATAAAAAAATCCAAACCACCAACCAGCTATATATACATGTATACACAGGATATACTCATGATATAGTTATGATATACCCCAATGTTGGACAAACCTATGTGTCGCTTTGTAAAAGCTCATCCCTGAAATCCCTGTTCCGCGATGCCAAGGGCATCCAAGGGCTGCCAAGGGGCATGTGCACTCGGATTTGATGCGTTCTCCCTGTGGCGATGTCACAAGCCAATAAGCTATAAGCGCTTCCATAGGTGGCCTCAGTTCTGCTCCTGAACTGTGAAGAAAAACGTCTTTGCCAAGGTCAAAAGCAAGAAAAACATGGCGCTATTCATGCTTATTAATAGTTATTAATTATTAACAGTTATTGTATCGACAGTTACTATTAACAGCATTTAACCTCTGGTAAACTAACATAACAGTGCAGGGGCAAAGGGGGCCGAAGCGTGGGTTTCCGACGTTGCGCTGTGACGCTCCCGGGGGCGGGTGGCGCTGCGACGCTGCGACGCTGCGACGCTCCGGGGGGCGGGTGGCGCTGGGACGCTGCGACGCTGCCGTTGGGCCAGTGACGCTGCGACGCTGTTGGCGCTGCGACGCTGCGACACTGGAGTGACGCTGCGACGCTGTTGGCGCTGCGACGCTGCGACGATGCGATGCGGGAGCGACGCTGCGACGCTGTTGGCGCTGCGACGCTGCGACGCTGCGACGCGGGAGCGACGCTGCGACGCTGTTGGCGCTGCGACGCTGCGACGCTGCGACGCGGGAGCGACGCTGCGACGCTGTTGGCGCTGCGACGCTGCGACGCTGCGTCGCGGGAGCGACGCTGCGACGCTGTTGGCGCTGCGACGCTGCGACGCTGCGACGCGGGAGCGACGCTGCGACGCTGTTGGCGCTGCGACGCGGGAGCGACGCTGCGACGCTGTTGGCGCTGCGACGCTTCCTTCTGCAAGAGTGCACACGGCGTTGCGTCGCGGCGCGACACGGAAACCCCCATTGAAGATCGTCAATGAATGTAGAAGTTTATATGGGGGTTGTCCTAAATTACTGTTCCCACAAAGGCCTCTTGGGCCGAGCTTGCGCCAACCTTGCGCGTTTCTTGCGCGACCACACTCCCGGATCACTTTCATCATTTCAGTTGTCTTTCATCATTATTCTCGTACTTGTTTTCGAATGTTAAATATTTAGTATTCACTTAGTATTTCGTACTGGGAAGTAGTTTGTGCAAGCTTTGTAGTACACAGTAGTACTGGGAAGTAGTTTGTGCAAGCTTTGTAGTACAAAGTAGTATTGGGAAGTAGTTTGTGCAAGCTTTGTAGTACAAAGTAGTACTGGGAAGTAGTTTGTGCAAGCTTTGTAGTACAAAGTAGTACTGGGAAGTAGTTTGTGCAAGCCTGTGCAAGCTTTGCAGTACACAGTAGTACTGGGAAGTGCTTTGTGCAAGCTTTGTAGTACAAAGTAGTACTGGGAAGTGCTTTGTGCAAGCTTTGTAGTACACAGTAGTACTGGGAAGTGTTTTGTGCAAGCTTTGTAGTACAAAGTAGTACTGGGAAGTGCTTTGTGCAAGCTTTGTAGTAACCAGTAAAGTACTGGGAAGTAGTTTGTGCAAGCTTTGTAGTACACAGTAGTACTAGGAAGTAGTTTGTGCAAGCTTTGTAGTATAAAGTAGTACTGGGAAGTAGTTTGTGCAAGCTTCGTAGTGCAAAGTAGTACTGGGAAGTAGTTTGTGCAAGCTTTGTAGTACACAATAGTACTGGGAAGTAGTTTGTGCAAGCCATGCAGTACAAAGTAGTACTGGGAAGTAGTACACAGTAGTACTGGGAAGTAGTTTGTGCAAGCCATGTAGTACAAAGTAGTACTGGGAAGTAGTTTGTGCAAGCTTTGTAGTGCAAAGTAGTACTGGGAAGTAGTTTGTGCAAGCTTTGTAGTACAAAGTAGTACTGGGAAGTGGTTTGTGCAAGCTTTGTAGTACAAAGTAGTACTGGGAAGTGGTGTGTGCAAGCTTTGTAGTACACAGTAGTACTGGGAAGTGGTTTGTGCAAGCTTTGTAGTACACAGTAGTACTGGGAAGTGGTTTGTGCAAGCTTTGTAGTACAAAGTAGTACTGGGAAGTGGTTTGTGCAAGCTTTGTAGTACAAAGTAGTACTGGGAAGTGTTTTGTGCAAGCTTTGTAGTACAAAGTAGTACTGGGAAGTAGTTTGTGCAAGCTTTGTAGTACAAAGTAGTACTGGGAAGTGCTTTGTGCAAGCTTTGTAGTACAAAGTAGTACTGGGAAGTGTTTTGTGCAAGCTTTGTAGTACAAAGTAGTACTGGAACGTGTTTTGTGCAAGCTTTGTAGTACACAGTAGTACTGGGAAGTGCTTTGTGCAAGCTTTGTAGTACACAGTAGTACTGGGAAGTGTTTTGTGCAAGCTTTGTAGTACACAGTAGTACTGGGAAGTAGTACTGGGAAGTAGCTCTGCACGTGTTGAACTTCTGTGGTTTCAGAGCGGTTTCAGAGTGGTTTCAGACCCCTTCGGGGGGTCTAGCTGACCTTGATGAAAAAAACAATTTACAGACAGAAAAGACTTGAACACAACATACAAGGAAATACATTTAAAGAGCAGATAGATAGATAGATAAATAGATAGAGATAAAGCAGCCAACGCGGTCCGGAAGACATGCAGCAGCAGCCCGGAGATGGTGAGCAGGAAGGTGTTTCAGAGTGGTTTCAGACCTCTTTTGGGCTTGTTTTTTGGGTACCCCCAGCTTTGGGAGATGAAAAAAGAAAGAGAAAAGGTAGAGAAAGAGAGAGACAGAGAGAGGAAGAGGGAAAGAGAGAGAGAGAGAGAGATAGAGAGAGAGAGAGAGGGAGAGAGAGGAAGATGGAAGATGGAGACAAAAAGAAGGCGAGAGAGAGAGAGAGAGAGAGACAGAGAGAGGAAGAGGGAGAGGAAAGAGAGAGAGCGTTGTAAATGGTGAGCAGCGGGGTGTTTCAGAGTGGTTTCAGACCTCTTTTTGTCCGTAGGCTACCTCAGCTTTGGAGAAAAAACAGGAAAGAACGGGAAAAGAAAGAAGAGAAGGGAGAAAGAGACAGAGAGAAAGAAGAGAAGTCTTGAGACGGTGAGCAGGAAGATGTGTCGAACTGGTTTCAGACCTCTTTTGGGGCCGGTTATGGGGCTACCTAGTTCTTAAGACATCCAAAAGAAGGGGCTCAAAACAGATTGTACTTGAAACACATGCGGTCCGGAAAGACGTGCAACGGTCCGGAAAAGCAAGCACCCAAAACGTACTCTAATCGTAGCGATTGCGGTCCGGAAAGGCATGCAGCGGTCCGGAAAAGCGAGCACCCAAAACGCACGCTAATTGTAGACATTGCAGTCCGGAAAGATGAGCAGCGGTCCGGAAAAGCAAGCACCCAAAACGTATTCTAATTGTAGCCATTGCGGCCCGGAAAGACATGCAGCGGTCCGGAAAAGCAAGCACCCAAAACGTACTCTAATTGTAGATATCGCGGTCCGGAAAGACCTGCAGCGGTCCGGAAAAGCAAGCACCCAAAACGTACTCTAATTGTAGCCATTGTGGTCCGGAAAGACCTGCAGCGGTCCGGAAAAGCAAGCACCCAAAAAGTACTCTAATTGTAGATAGTGTGGTCCGGAAAGACGTGCAGCGGTCCGGAAAAGCAAGCACCCAAAACGTACTCTAATTGTAGACATTACGGTCCGGAAAGACATGCAGCGGTCCGGAAAAGCAAGCACCCAAAACGTACTCTAATTGTAGCCATTGTGGTCCGGAAAGACCTGCAGCGGTCCGGAAAAGCAAGCACCCAAAACGTGATTGCGGTCCGGAAAAGGCATGCAGCGGTCCGGAAAGATGAGTACGTTTTGGGTGCTTGCTTTTCCGGACCGCTGCATGTCTTTCCGGACCACAATGGCTACAATTAGAGTACGTTTTGGGTGCTTGCTTTTCCGGACCGCTGCAGGTCTTTCCGGACCGCAATCGCTACAATTGGAGTACGTTTTGGGTGCTTGCTTTTCCGGACCGTTGCACGTCTTTCCGGACCGCGATATCTACAATTAGAGTACGTTTTAGGTGCTTGCTTTTCCGGACCGCTGCGCGTCTTTCCGGACCGTAATGTCTACAATAAGAGTACGCGTTTTGGGTGCTTGCTTTTCCGGACCGCTGCAGGTCTTTCCGGACCACAATGGCTACAATTAGAGTACGTTTTGGGTGCTTGCTTTTCCGGACCGCTGCAGGTCTTTCCGGACCACAATGGCTACAATTAGAGTTCGTTTTGGGTGCTTGCTTTTCCGGACCGTTGCACGTCTTTCCGGACCGCGATATCTACAATTAGAGTACGTTTTAGGTGCTTGCTTTTCCGGACCGCTGCATGCCTTTCCGGACCGCAATCGCTACGATTAGAGTACGTTTTGGGTGCTTGCTTTTCCGGACCGTTGCACGTCTTTCCGGACCGCATGTGTTTCAAGTACAATATGTTTTGAGTCCCTTCTTTTGGATGTCTTAAGAACTAGGTAGCCCCATAACCGGCCCCAAAAGACGTCTGAAACCAGTTCGACACATCTTCCTGCTCACCGTCTCAAGACTTCTTCTTTCTCTCTGTCTCTTTCTCCCTTCTCTTCTTTCTTTTCCCGTTTTTTCCTGTTTTTTCTCCAAAGCTGAGGTAGCCTACGGACAAAAAAGAGGTCTGAAACCACTCTGAAACACCCCGCTGCTCACCATTTACAACGCTCTCTCTCTCCTCTCCCTCTTCCTCTCTCTGTCTCTCTCTCTCTCTCTCTCTTTCCCTCTTCCTCTCTCTGTCTCTCTCTCTCTCTCTCTCTTTCTCTACCTTTTCTCTTTCTTTTTCCATCTCCCAAAGCTGGGGGTACCCAAAAAACAAGCCCAAAAGAGGTCTGAAACCACTCTGAAACACCTTCCTGCTCACCATCTCCGGACTGCTGCTGCATGTCTTCCGGACCGCGTTGGCTGCTTTATCTCTATCTATCTATCTATCTATTCATCTATCTATCTATCTATCTGCTCCTTTTTCTTTGGATGGCCTATTTACCACCCTGGTTATCTATGTTTATCAACTCGAGATATTAATATTTAAGATCTAAATCAGATACGGTAGTAGTAGTAGTAGTAGTTGTTGTTGTTGTAGTAGTAGTAGTAGTAATAGTAGTGGTAATGTTGTAGTAGTAGTAGTAGTAGTAGTGGTAGTAGTGGTAGTAGTGGTAGTGGTAGTAGTAGTAGTAGTCGTCGTCGTAGTAGTAGTAGTAATCAAAATGTTAACTAAAAATAGTACTTGTAATAATGATAACAATAGTACTTGCGCGTACCTTGGGCCGCCCTTGCGCGAAACTTGCGCGATGCAGGTTTTAGACCATGGGAAAAATGCGAGAATAGGTCCTTTACTAAAAACCTTTCTGGGGTTTTTGGACGGCTCCCATATATAACGGGGCTGAAAGAATTAAACCCTTATTGAAGATCGTCCATGAATGTAGAAGTTTAACGGGGCTGGGAGAATTAAACCCTCATTGAAGATCGTCAGTGAATGTAGAAGTTTAACGGGGCTGGGAGAATTAAACCCTCATTGAAGATCGGCCATGAATGTAGAAGTTAAACGGGGCTGGGGAGAATTAAACCCTCATTGAAGATCGTCCATGAATGTAGAAGTTTAACGGGGCTGGGGAGAATTAAACCCTCATTGAAGATCTTCAATGAATGTAGAAGTTTAACGGGGCTGGGAAGAATTAAACCCTCATTTAAGATCGTCCATGAATGTAGAAGTTTAACGGGGCTGGGAGAATTAAACCCTCATTTAAGATCGTCCATGAATGTAGAAGTTTAACGGGGCTGGGGAGAATTAAACCCTTATTGAAGATCGTCCATGAATGTAGAAGTTTAAGGGGGTGGGGAGAATTAAACCCTCATTGAAGATCCTCCATGAATGTAGAAGTTTAACGGGGCTGGGGAGAATTAAACCCTCATTGAAGATCGTCCATGAATGTAGAAGTTTAACGGGGCTGGGAGAATTAAACCCTCGTTGAAGATCGTCAGTGAATGTAGAAGTTTAACGGGGGTGGGGAGAATTAAACCCTCATTGAAGATCGTCAATGAATCTAGAAGTCTAACGGGGCTGGGGAGAATTAAAACCTCATTGAAGATCGTCCATGAATGTAGAAGTTGAACGCGGGTGGGGAGAATTAAACCCTCTTTGAAGATCGTCAATGAATGTAGAAGTTTAACGGGGCTCGGGAGAATTAAACCCTCATTGAAGATCGTCCATGAATGTAGAAGTTTAACGGGGCTGGGAGAATTAAACCCTCATTGAAGATCGTCCATGAATGTAGAAGTTAAACGGGGCTGGGGAGAATTAAACCCTCATTGAAGATCGTCCATGAATGTAAAGTTTAACGGGGCTGGGGAGAATCCGCCCGCACCGAAGGTGCTGGGGCGTGATCTTCCGGATGGCACTCGTAAAAGGTTACAGGTTTACCTGGGGGGGGGGGGGCATTTTTCGGCCAAAACCTCCTGTTTTTGATAGGTCGTGACGCTCGCCTTCAAAAAACACTGTAAAAAACAGTACGGAAGACACCTGTTCGTGAACGTGCCCGTCCAAAATCGGCAAGCGAAAAGTGAAAAAAACCCGTGTTTTTCAACTTTTTGACCTCAATTTTTTGGTTTGCAACATCTTTTTTTGCGGTTCCGCAGGTGGCCGGGCCCGGAGGCGGATTTTTGAGTTTTTGGACCCGTTTTCGGACTGATTTTCGTCGTTTTGTGATAGCAGAAACACTGGTTTTTACAGTGTTTTTCTGTTTTCTGCATGCTTGACGGCTAGCTTCAAAACTTCCAAAAACCTCGTGAAAACATCGTAAATACCAGTGTTTTTTGACGTTGGTTAAAAAAACACTGTAAATTACAGTGTTTTTGGCCACCTGACCCTCAAAAACCATGGTATTTGCAGTGGTTTCTGCTTCTCACCGCGCAAAAACACTGTAAATAACAGCAATTTCGCCGTTTTTCATGTTTTTCGTTATTTTTTGAACTGCGTTGGTCCGCTATACATGGCCATCAAATTCTTCGCGTTTTTTTTTTCCGACAATCAGTACTTTCGGATGTTTTTGGTCTCAATGCCCCTGCTGTATGAGCCCAACGATGCGGTGCGGGCGGTTGCCGTCGCGAAGCGACGTGAATTAAACCCTTATTTAAGATCGTCAAAGAAAGTAGAGGTTTAACGGGGCTGGGGAGAATTAAAACCTCATTGAAGATCGTCCATGAATGTAGAAGTTTAACGGGGCTGGGAGAATTAAACCCTCATTGAAGATCTTCGATGAATATAGAAGTTTAACGGGGCTGGGAGAATTAAACCCTCATTGAAGATCGTCCATGAATGTAGAAGTTTACCGGGGCTGGGAGAATTAAACCCTCATTTAAGATCTTCAATGAATGTAGAAGTTTAACGGGGCTGGGAGGAATCAAACCCTTATTGAAGATCTTCAATGAATGTAGAAGTTTAACGGGGCTGGGAGAATTAAACCCTCATTGAAGATCGTCAATGAATGTAGAAGTTTAACAGGGCTGGGAGAATTAAACCCTCATTGAAGATCTTCGATGAATGTAGAAGTTTAACGGGGCTGGGAAGAATTAAACCCTCATTGAAGATCGTCAATGAATGTAGAAGTTTAACGGGGCTGGGAGAATTAAACCCTCATTGAAGATCTTCAATGAATGTAGAAGTTTAACGGGGCGAGGTAGTGTTCAGAGGGGGTCGCTGGCTTGATCTTCGAAGATGCAACATATACTCAAAGGGGGTGGCGGGGCTGATGTCTCAAGGTGCAATGTATTGTTCAGAGGGGGTTGGGGAGTTGATGTCTTGTGATGGTGAAGATGCAACATAGTGTTCAGAGGGGGTTCCAGGGCTACTGTCTCAGCTTGTCCGGTGGCTTCTCGGCTTCTCGGCTTGTCCGGTGGCTTCTCGGCTTCTCGGCTTCTCGGCTTGCCCGGCGGCTTCTCGGCTTCGCGGCTTCTCGGCTTCTCGGCTTCTCGGCTTCTCGGCTTGCCCGGCGGCTCCTCGGCTTCGCGGCTTCGCGGCTTCTCGGCTTCTCGGCTTGTCCGGTGGCTTCTCGGCTTCTCGGCTTCTTGGCTTCTCGGCTTGTGCCGGGCTTCTCGGCTTCTCGGCTTCTCGGCTTCTCGGCTTCTCGGCTTCTCGGCTTGTGTCGTACTTCGCGGCTTCTCGGCTTCTCGGCTTCTCGGCTTGTGTCGGGCTTCTCGGCTTCTCGGCTTCTGGTCGCATTTCTGGGCCCCTTTTGCCCGTGCTTTGTAACATAACTATGGAAAATCACCCTTTTGAATTAGTAAATCCACTATTTCACTGGCCATTTTCAATAGCAAACTGTTTGTTTACCAGAGGGTAATAGCTATTGATGGCTATAACCATGACAATTCACCACCAGAAGTTGGGGCCCGTCCAGAATTACAATGGTTCGATTGGGGAAAGCAATGGTTTTATGGGGTTGCAACAAACATAAATAAATAAATAAGAAAATTAGAGAAGCACTGGATTTTGAGCAACTTCCGAGGATTTTCAGTGCTCGACTCACTTCAGAATTGTGGAGACTCACTTCAATCATTGCTCTTATCCAGCTGATGGCAATTGTTTGGCTCAATAAAATAAGTGCTAGGCCTAAGCCATTGGATAAGTTCCCCCTGAAATTCAACAAGCCGGATGTTTTCAGTTAGTGACTTAGTGGCAATCTCTACAGCCAAATTCAGCTGAACAGTTCTGCCGGCATAGTTAGCCCTAGAATTCCCGTATCATTCCAGCGAAAAACATCCTTGAAGGTACCATGGTACCCCCAATGGCTAGTCACCAGCCCCCACTTGATTTGATGAAATCCACGAAAAATTGTTGCTGACCATCTTTCTCCATGAGATCTCTACTTGATATCTCAAGCTGGAGTACCAGTTGACAAAAAAATGCGACTGTCATCTGGTGGGGAACCACCCCAATTTGGAGGGTCAATTTTTTTTTGAACCATGCTCAAATGTCGCAAAAAGTAGGATTTCATGGCCCGACCTCATTCGCGAAAATAAAAAATCCTTCGAAATTCGAATCATTCACCAACCATGACACGATTTTGCGGAGAATTCCCTCGCAACCGATGATTTTTCTAGGCCTCCGTCCGCAAATGTCGCTACTTGGGCATGCATCCCAACGGCATAGAAACCTATGTTTTTTTTAAGGGTATTTCCCGCAGGTCATACAGCCAACCATTTGAGATTGGGAACATCCTTCCATAGGGAAATACTGTTTTGGGGATGGTTCATGGCATTTGGTTTACCACATGGCTATGGATCAATACCTACACATACCATTTTTAGGGGAATGAACATCCATTTACCAGCTATATCCAGCTATTTTGATGTTCACCAGGGGTACAAGGTTTTGACACACTGCCACATGTGTGCATATGGATCTGAAAATGCTGAGGGTTTATGGAATATCAACGGAGATCATTCGATACAACCAACGCTCAAAACTGGGATCCAAGATGTTCATGTTGAGTCATGACCCAATCAGATGTGCAGGACATTCAGATGTTCCCAAACGCCGAGTATCAATCACCTGGAACTGCGTCTCCGCCCAGTCCCCTGGATGAAGTCACTCACACCCGTGCATTGGCTGGTAACGATAGGGATATATAACGAGATTCACAAGATAACTAGGACTCACTAGGAATGTTGGGATGTGAATCAACACGTCAACACGTAATACGCCTCGTGGTTGTTTTTCAGCCTTTGTCTGAAAATATATTGGGCATTTTGAAGCATCGTCGTCCCAAGTGCAGAAAAAATCTGGTAATAAAGTATATATATATACTGTATATTGTATGTATGCGGATATACATTCGAGTGCTGAAGTGACAACAATTTTCTTGAATGTGGAGAAAATTTCTTGGTCACTTGGTCACAGGATCGGGTCACAGCAATCCATCAAAACACAGGGGGATTGCCTTCATCTAAAGGATATAACAGGGGTAGCAAGACCACCCTAGACAATGCGTTAGGGTACCAATGCATTGTCCTGTTTTATGTCCCTATTTATTTCTCCATTCATTTCCATATCCTGGATATCCATATTTTTCACTATTTATTTCCCTAGTTATCTCCCTATTTATTTCCAATGCATTTCTCTATTTCCCTATGTGTTTCCCTAGTTTCCCCATTGTGTCCCCATTTATTTCCCTATTTGTGTCCCTATTATTTTCAAATTATTTCCCTATTTATTTCCCTATTAATTACTGTCCCTATTTATTTCCCCATTTATTTCCCTATTTAATTATGTCCCTATTCATTTCCCTGTATAATCCTTTATTATTGTCCTATCTGTTGCCTTACTATTTTCCTATCTATGTCCATATTGTTGTTATTTCTCTGATATCATTCAGATGAATCTGTCTGATATTAGGGCACGCAGAAAATTTGAAATCTCATTCTTTATCAATTTCCCAATCAAAGTTGTCGTTTTGGAGTAAACCCCGTTTCCTGACAAAGCGAGATGTAAACAAGAATCAAGGGTTTTTTTTTGGCTCAGGGCTGTGATTTGGGAACTTGAATGCTGGTTGTCACTGAATACTTGGAAGATCACCCAACGAATCGTAACTGGTTCGTCAGTGGTTTGTAACTGGGATTAGTTCGCCCATTTATAAAAATCCATGAATCGGGGACCTACTAACCAGCTTATTAACCACTTGTTCGTGGGATAATTTCTCACAGTACTGAACCCTTTTTGACCCATTGTTCTGCCGGTCATTTCCTCCAGTTTTAGGGTCGTGGTCCACCTGGTTCGCTCATGGTTGCTGGAAAAAGATCCCACTCTCTACTGCACTCCCATTGTTAGACGTTTCGTTGAACATGTTGATTCAGTTAATACTTTAATTGTTATTCGGATTGAATACTATATGTATTTCAGTGAAAAAATAATTATTCAGTTAATATTTATGGCATTTCGGGTTCAAACTGAGCCCTCCGTCTCTCTTTCAAAATAACCATCGTTGTACGGGCCCTGTTTCCCAACCTGTGAAGCTTGAAATCCCTACCGTCATATCCATCAAATAGCCATCAATATTATACCATCGTTATTATACCATAGTATACCATCAATATTCATAACATTTCATGCTGCACCATTAAACCCACGGTAGTTCATAGCCATCAATTTACCCAGTTATACCATAGTTATACCCATCAAAATCACCTGTCCAAGGACTGGTAGCCCCTACGGTACTACGCCTGATGCAGAGATTTCTGACCTGTCGAGTCTGTCGAGACCATCCCATCCCAGGACGAAAAACGGGCTATGATAAACTCAAATCTGTCTCTATAGCAATCAAATTAAAAAAAAAAAAAAACAGAACAGGCAGAAATGGAGAATTAAAATTTACCTACTAAAAGTCGTGGTAAATTCAACATGTTCTATCTGCGTTGGTCTAATCTGGAGGTGTGCGACCAGATAAACCGCTTCGGCCCATGTTTCATCATGGATTGATGTGCTAAATCTTGCAGGAAAAGCTGCAAGAAGAGGCTCCTGAGTTGGTTTACAACCCCCCCTGAGTACATTAGTTATCATCTGGTTACTTAACATAGCTAACTAGAAAATCACCATGCTATTAATAGGTAAACCATCTATTTCAATAGGCCATCTATACCATGGCTATGTTAGTCATAACCAGGTTGGGTATTGCGCTAGTTCCCCTGTTGATCAAGCCTAGAAATTGGACAAATCAGCGAACTTCTCATGGTGGATTTTCAATGGTGACGTTTCAGTACCGGATGGGTAATCAGGTAATCAATATGTTTCTGTCAATCAAATTTTGCCTGGTTTAAAAAAAAAAAAAACATCATTCATATGAAACATCCCTATTCTATGGTCTCAAATATGTGGTTTTATCCCCAACAACAAAACATGGTTTCTGGTGGGTGCTTATTTTTTTCACGAGGGATGGGATTAATTCCCAGGAGATCCTGTGTTGGTGATAAAATTCTATCCCAGTATATTTCTATCATCATTCAATCCCACTAAATCATCATTTCATAAATTTCATATCTATAAATCCTATGAAGGGATTAGTTGGACCATTTTTTTGAATGTGAAATAGCAGACCTTCCGGGGGCCCGAAGCTTCAAGACTTCGAAAAATGGCTAGGACCGAGTAGGACGGGGGTACCCCCAACTCATCATCCGAGTCAGAGCATTTCAGTGCTGAAAGCTATGGTATACCACCATTTTAAGAAACCACATGTATACCCTCTGGTAAACAAACAGTTTGCTATTGAAATGGCCATTGAAATAGTGAGTTTTCCCATTAATAGCATGGTGTTTTTCCATAGTTATGTTGGTTTACCAGAGGGTATCTTCCAAAAAAAACTGTAGAAAACAAATCGAGACCAAACCCACCACATGTATATCTGTATATCTTCAAAAAAATCTGTAGAAAACGAAGTCGAAACCAAACTTCCAGATGAAACCTCCAACAGATGTCACATTTCTTCGCGCCTGGTGGTGGCATCGGTGCGCAAGGTTCGGATGTTGGCATCCACCAAGCCCTTCGCCTGTGAGACGCGACCATGCACCAGACACACGTAGCGCTTGGAGATCTCCGTCTTGTGGAACCTCAGCGAAAGGGACTCCGGCTGAATGGCCCAGTTATAGGCATATAAAAAAACCGCTTTTCGAAGGGTGACACACCAAGATTTCAAAAGAAAGTGTTGGCAACAGCGCTGTGGTTTTTTTTTGGCCACTCGGCCACTCTAAACAACAAAAAAAACGCCATATTTGATGCAGTTCAATGGATAATAATATGTGTGGTTTTTCGTGATTTCCAGATACCCTCTGGTAATCTAACATAGCTATTGAAACTTGCCATTTATAGTGGATTTACCCAGTGAAAATGGTGATTTTCCATAGTTATGTTAGTTTACCAGAGGGTATGTCCAGTACATGGAGAGAGCCAGAATGAAACCATGGATGTTTTTTTACACTCGGGGAGCTTCCCAAGTTGATTTCACCATCAGGTTTTTTGCGAAATGCGAACCTGGCAGGATCTAAGTACCAATGAAAACCTTCGGGACATCACGGTACAACCATACAAGCCTATCCTTACTGGTCACCAAGCTATCGGTGAGTTGGGTTAAAATATGTTTTTAATGATCCAGTCACAAGAGGTGGAACCATTCATCATCTAAGTTGGTTCCCGTTCTCCATGATCTCCATGTCAGATTGGATCATCATCCCAACTATTGGGGAAAATACGTTAAGGAAAAATTGTTCCAAACCACCAGCCAGAACATGTTGTGGCACCGGCCTTTCTGACCTTTCGGGCAGACCCCGGGACCCCCAACTGCTGCCGCAGGTGTTTGTGGGCCTTGGCCAGATAGATAGCGCCATGATAGCGGAAATCTTGGAGAAAAAGATGCTACCAACTGGAAATAACAGGGCATATTGCAGAAATGATGATTATTGCCGGGAAAAAGGAAAAGGTGTAGACTCACACCTTCATGGGGCATTGTCATAGCGACTCCAACGCACTTGTGGTTTTCAAGTTGTTGTCGACTGTTGTGGTGGGTTACCAGCCATCGGTTTAGACCCATCTTGAAAGACATGAAATCATTCGAGTTTCTTGAATTAAAAGATGAAAGCACCAACCAAATGACATAGGGGTCTTTATTGATCGACATACTCACAAACATAGCTAGCCTTTTATGCCCTTGCAAAACAGTTTCTAAACACTCTGTATGTCTCCTGTAGAAAAATGTGTTGGGTGAAATCCCGCTGTGAAAAACCGCCATGCTACCCCTTCACACTCACCTTCCAGCCAAAAAATCGTGCCAAGTTTACTGTGAAATCCCTCTGATCGTTCCATGTGTTCTTCTTTAAAAACTATATACAGTAGAGTGTCGACAAATTTAGGGCGAACTGACTAAGATTCCACGGCATTGTACTTAATCATCCCACTTAGTAAGTGGTTAATAGCCCACAGGTTGTTAAGTCTCCATTCAGTGGGGCTGCTCCATAAACCTCATAAGTTCTAGTTCACAGACTGAGTCAAACATACCCCATTGTCCCATTGTTGGACAGAAAGACAATTCGACAATTTGGATCAAGTGGGCCATACCCTCTGGTAAACATACAAAAAACTATGGAAAAACACCATTTTTAATGGGAAAATCCACTATAAATAGCCAGGCTTCAATAGCTATTTTGACATAACCAGAGGGTAATATTTCACCATAGTTGAGACGGGGCCCCATATCCCAAGTTATGGAGCTTAGAATCCCAACTGCCCCCGTGGAGCTGAGCCCTGAGACCGCCGGTGTGCGCGCAGCCAACAAAGGTCCACTGGTCTCCTGGAGCTGGAGCTTTGACAAACCAGGAGGGATTTACCTGGCACAACAAGCTGCTTAAAATCCATGGGATTATGGATTATTATATGGGTTTAATGGAGGTTTAATGGAGGTTTAATGGGATTTAATGGGGTTTAATGGGATGTAGTGAAATTTAATGATATACCCTCTGGTTATGACTAACAGTTCGCCATGGTAGAGGTATAGATGGCCCATAGAAATAGATGGTTTGCCGTTCTTAACAATGGTGATTTTCCATGGCGAACTGTTAAATAACCAGATGGTAAATATCAGCAAAAATCTGGATTTCAGCAGAAAATGTGTACAATTCTCAAGAAAACAGACATGTGGCCCCAACAGACATAGGAACTACGTGGAATATCCATGCGCAAATGAACCCTCAAGAAATCCACTGGGCCAGTAGGTCACTCTGGGTTGGTGGGTTGGTACCTGGCAAGACTCCTTTCTATCTCCCTTTGTTCCTCTCTATTCTCCTTCCTATTTATCTCCCGTTGTTACCTTCCTATTAATCTCCCTATCAATCTCTCTATGTCTCTGTCTCTTTTACTCCCTGTTTATCTCTCCATGTTCCTCCCTATTTGTCTCCCTATGTTCTTCCCTATTTATCTCCCTCTGTTCCTCCTTATTCTTCTCCTGAAAAAGCAATCTACAGTATCCATTTATATCCATATGTTCCTCCCTATTTATATCCCTATTTACCTGTCTGTTTTCGTCCCTACTTTATCTCTCCGTGATTGTCCTTATGTATCTCCTTTTTGTCCCTATTGTTTGTTCCTATTTTATCTCCCAAGTTTCCTCCCTATGATCTTCCTGTTTTCCTTCCCATTGTTCTCCTTGTTCTCCCTGTTTACATTCCTACTAACCTTCCTATTAATCTCCATATCTATTTTCCTATTTATCTCCCTATGTGCCTTTCTATTTATCTCCCCGTTTATCGTCCTATTGTTCTCCATATGTATCTTCCAATTCATCTCCCAAATTATCTCGTGAAATTCACCCGATTCCCCTCCTAGAAACCTTCCTTTTCATCTCCCTATATCCCTATTCATCTCCCTAAATCCGATTTAAAAAGAAAGATCCCTATTCATCTCCTATGATAAATTGATAGCTTCCATTAACATCCTCATTATCAATAGCTCATTATCACCACTCATTATCATCCATCATCTTCCATTTACCTTCATTTAAAACACTCATTTTTCTTCCATTGTCATTCCTCCCCATGTGTTTCCCCTGTTTTCCTCCCCAAAACTTCGCGTTTTTGCGGCTCCGCGGCTCCTGGTCAATGCGATGCGACAGGGGACCGAACCCCGTGCCGCTCTGCGCAGGATTGGACCTTGCTTACCATGGCAACGCCAAAGATGGGGGAAAAAACACCAATAAAAATGGGAAAAGTATGGGAAAACCCATCAAAAATGGGAAAAATACTGGTATTTACAGTGTTTTGTGACCAAGGTTTTAAAAAAAAAAAAAGGATTGGGGAAAAACCACAAAAAAAATTGGAAAAGTATGGGACAATATTTCAGCAGATCTGAAAATGAGATCTGAAAATATGGACACCACCGGAAAGATATGGGAAAATGAGACCTGAAATCATTTGATCAGCCAAAAAAATGAACGATTTGATCATTTGATCAGCAAGAGTCAGTGGAATTAAGCAGCAATTGATGTGAATTTCAGCAACAACGCAAGTTCAAGCCTTCAATCTTTGGCCAACTATTCTAACTTCCAGGAAATATGGATGGTTCTGGGTCTGGGTCTCAGAGGGACTCGGCTTAACAGCAGTTCGGTCCCTCGTCAGAACTTTCCAAAATTGTCAAGCTGAATCTTTGGCTTGTATCTTTGAGACACACATCTTTCCTTCAATTCCCAGGTTTCGCGAAATTTCCTACAAAAAAGGTTTCCCTATTTTTTTCCTACTGTCTTTTCATCATTTCTAGTGTTTTTGCTCCCAATTTCTTGCAGGGCAGCCGGTTCCTCCAAGCGACTCCACTTCAAAGAGCTTGGGGTCGATGCCGGTGACCTTCATGTGGTCTGAGTTTGGATATCTATCAAGCTATCTATTGGATCTATATGTATATCTGATCTTATCTCATATCATATATAGATATATATATATATAGTGTCTTATCTAAACTAAACTTATCTCATATAATCTAATCTTATCTAATCATCCATCCATCTGTATGTATGTGTATATGCACATGTATGCGTGTATATACACATAAAAAGATGTGCAAATGTCTGTACATGAATACATATATATATATGTATATATATGTATATATATATATGTATATATATATATATAGGTAGGTAGATAGATAGATAGATAGAGAGAGAGATAGAGAGATATAGAGATAGATAGAGATAGATAGAGAGAGAGATAGATAGAGATAGATAGAGATAGATAGAGATCGATAGAGATCGATAGAGATAGATAGAGATTTATACAGATAGATAGATAGATAGAGATAGATAGATATAGATAGATATAGACATAGAGATAGAGATAGAGATAGATAGAGATAGATAGAGATAGATAGAGATATATAGAGATAGATAAAGATAGATAGAGACATAGATAAATGTAGCTAGATATAGGTAGATATAGATAGATCTAGATAGATATCGACATAGATATCGACATAGATATAGACACAGATATCGACATAGATATAGACATAAATATAGACATAGATATAGACATAGATATAGACATAGATATATAGACATAGATTTAGACATAGACAAAGACATAGATAAAGCCATATAAATATATATATATACATAGATATAGACATAGATATAGATATAGACATAGATACAGACATAGATATGGACATAGATATGGACATAGATATGGACATAGATATAGAAATAGATATAGACATAGATAGATGTAGGTAGGTATAGGTAGATATAGTTAGATATAGATAGATATAGATAGATTTAGATAGATTTAGATAGATACAGATAGATACAGATAGATATTTATATAGATAGATATAGGTAGATATAGGTAGATATAGGTAGATATAGTGAGATATAGTGATATATATATATATTGATATATAGTGAGATATGAGATAAGATATATGAGATATGAGATTTGAGATAAGAGATATGAGATATGAGATAGGATATATGAGATATGAGATAAGAGATATGAGATATGAGATAATAGATATGAGATATGAGATATAGATATATTATAAGTGTTTGCCTGTGGGTTTGGATCAGGATGGGAACCCTAAGTCTGCAATGTCACTTAGGATTTGGGTACTACACGTCGCCCCATCTGCCTGAAAAAAACCTAATCCAACCTCTATCCATATCCCCATTGTATTCCCATGAAGCCATACTAACCCCAGGGCCCCTGGTGACCAGTTTTTGGGGCAAAATTGGGGGTCTCAATCTCTGTTGTCATGTTGGGGGTAACACCCCCCCAATCCCGCCCATTTTTGGGTTGTGACCATGTACAACCCTCGATCTTTACTGATCAAACTATGCTAACGTGGTAAGCCCCATACTAAACCTACCCTCTCGTAATCAAAACGTGGCTAGCTGGGAAAAATCTTTGACAAATCGATATTTGAATGAGAAAATCATCGAACTACCCTCTAGTAAAGTAACAGTTTGCTATTGAAAATGGCCCATAGAAATAGCTGTGGCTTACCTCACAAAATGGTGATGTTCCATATTTGTTTGTACCCTCTAGTAAACTAACATAACTATGGAAAATCACCATGCTATTAATGGGAAAACTCACTATAAATGGCCATTTTCCCATGGTTTTCCCATGGTTTTCCCATGGTTTACCGGAGGATAAATGGTGAAATCTCCGGAATCCATCTCTGCCATCTCCGAAAACCAATCCCACCTTCTCACGTAGCCAGCTGGGGAGATACAGACCATCCTGGAGATGACATAGAGAATCCTCTGTTTCACATATCTAATGGGATATCTATTGAATTCTACTTGAATATGTGTATGTATATACATATACTGTATATATATATATACATATATATATATAATATGTATGTATATATATATATATGTATATACGTGTATTATATAGTGGGATACATACCCTTTAGTAATATACGCAATAGATCTAATACATGCATTAAATAGACCATGTCCTCTTCTACTTCATCGAACCTGTCAATTGATAAAATCATAAGAAGTTCCGTTGCCATGTTTGATTACCGAGGACGTAGTTGATATATAGCATATTAATTACAGTTGATATAGGCCCTAAATATGGATATATTAATGGGATAATGGATATATCAACTGTAATTAATACTAATATTGATTAATTGGATATATTAATGGAATATCAATGGCCCTAAATCATCCGATTCAATAGGATTTGCCGATTTTCCATGAAATAAACCATTCAGCTATTGGGGTGCCCATATTTTCGGAAACCTCAATATAATATAATATAATGATATAACGGAGATTGTTGTTATACACAAATCGGATTACCGTACAATATCTGTTGTCTCCCCACATCTTCACTTCTTGGTTGGCCTGGCAGATCAATGTGATATGGAAGGTTTCCTTAAGTGCAGGTACCCCTACATCATCCAAGTCATTAAACCATGACTTGGGGGGTTCCATCAATGGGGTACCCCAATTTTGGGATGGCTTATAAGGGAAATCCGATCTACAAATGGATGATATTATCATCCAATATTGGTGATATTTTTTGGGTGGATGATCATGGGAATATCATGGGGATATAGTACATCATCAACTTAACTATGGGGATGTAATGAGAGTCATGAAAAAAACAACGACTTAGTATTGATTCCCCAGACCTCCTTTGAAGTTGAAGGAAGTTCTACTTTCCAGTGAGGTGGTTTGTAGACGACCAACCTCGGCGTGAAAAACAAAAACTTGTGCCACTGCAGTTGGGGGGAATTCACAGGAACTTGAAAAAAATCGCGGGAAAAAAGAAAAACAAGTCACAAGTCCTTATGAGATGGGTATGGATCAATACCTATGAAAATACCATTTTTAATGGGATGAACATCCATAAATCCCAGCTATGACTTGGGGTTCACCAGGGGTACCAGGGTTTTGACCCATCCCCAGATACAGCCCAGCTTGCCGTCGAAATCGATTCCCTACATAAAATAAACACAAGGTGAGGCCCCCCAGTCATATTTGCTGCTTAGTTTATCTACTCCATGACTAGTTCGTCATATCCCCCAACCAGAGAAATATACCCTCTGGTAATTTAACATAACTATGGAAAATCACCATTTTGAATGGGAAAATCCACTATAAATGGTCATTTTCAATAACAAACTGTTAAATTGCCAGAGGGTATAAACCAGGTGAACTGGGTGTCATTGGTTGGTTCTGAATCTCATTGGACCGATGCCTCCCCGTCCTGGGATTACCAGCTCCATGCTTTGCTGGAAAATCCCCAAATACCCTCTGGTAAATTAACATAGACCCTGGCAGATAGGGTTGGAAGATTAGTTTCCATTAAAACTAGGCTATTTTCAGGGTCTAAGTCTATGTTAATTTACCGGAGGGTAGATTGCAGATGCTTTTCCCGTTTTTAGGGGTCTCTTTTTTTCGTAAACGGGGACTTCAGCAGATGTCCAATTGCCAACCATGTTTGTATCCCATATCAGTGATGCAATAATCAAACATGGGATATGGGATACAATCCCCAGATACAATCCCCATACAATTGCTCTATCTGTTTGATTATTGTTGATTGTATCCCATATCCCGTATCCCCAGTCCAGAGCACTGTGTCACATTTTTCTCTCCATTGGATCTCATTTGGATCTATCCTTCAACCCCATATCTAGGTCCATTCCATTAGAAACAGCATTAAAGTTAAATTGTCCCCTATTAAAATCCCCATGAAATCCCAAACAACCAGAAAAAAATGCGTGTTTTCCTATGGTAGGGCCCACAATCCCCAGACTCTTCTGGTAACTGGGAAACCACCATGGCGCTATTTCTGGTTGGAACTGGGCGTTATAAATTGGTATAATCCCCGTGAAATCTCTCATTTAATTCCCCATTTTTTTTTCACAACATAAACGTCACAGCGGGATAATCCATTGAAAATCCCATGGAACAAAACCCAGTGAAAAATCCCATGAATTTTCCAATCCCATTGAAACACCATCAGAATAAAAGCCGGTTGATTCATGACTTTGGGTTAGCTAACCCCATTGATAGAAGATTTTCCCAGCTAGAAACCTCCATTGATCATGGATTTTCCATGGCTATGTTGGTCATAACCAGAGGCTTAGCTGCCAAGTGACACCTGATCCAGGTCGAGCATCACTTCGGGCCTCGGATCACTCGAATCTTGGATCGATTTTGCTGCAGATCTTCACCGGAATGATTTAATGATATTTCATGGGGATCATATGATGTTCATGTCTGTTTTTTGTTGGTTTTTTGGGGGGGATTCCCATGATTCTCAAGTCGGACTTTTGACTTTCAGATCATGAAAGATATGGATCTGAGTGCATGTCATGATGACAAAAAATGACGTTTTTCAGGCCGGGGCTGGCTTCGGGGCAAAAACACACAACGTTGAAACCATCCAAAAAATCAGGCGCCACGCCACAAAGCTGCATGTGTTTATCGTTAAAGGGTAGTTCAAGGGATCATAAGAAAATAGATACATGTGTATGTGTATATATATATATATACATATATAGATATGTATATGTATATGTATATGTATCATATATATATATATACATATCTATGTCTTTTCTGTGTTTGGCTGAATGACTTCCAGTATATGGATGGCTTGCAGGGTTGACATCCTGATTACCTTGATTTTATGGCTAGATCCAGCGGGAAAATCCAATGTTCTACGGTAGAACTGATCAAATATCTCTACGACTTGTAGATTTGTAGTACAGTAGCCCCCGAAAAGATAGAAAAGTGCTTAATTTACGAATGTTTTGGTGGTACCTTACGTGTCTAGCTTTGGGGATGCCAAAAAAAACAAAGACTCATGGCCCCCCAGGCTTCCAGATAGTGAATGCACTGGTTCTGGTAGTTGTAACGCCAGCTACAATGTGATATGGTGTTACAACTTGCCAATTTGTTGCAGCTACAGGAAACCCTTGAAATCTAACGGCTGGACCAAAAAAAAAAAACGTGAGCCACCAAAAGTCATCACCAGTTTTGATTGGTCCAAGATGTTCCAAGTCAATCATCATCATCGATCTACATACCCTCGTGAGCCACCTATCCTATTTATCACATTGGGAGTGACAAAAAAAAGGTTTTTTTGACGGTTGAAGAATTTCCGATCTCTTTGGTTCAATCCCATGACTTTTCTCATCATATCCGGTGACCCGGCCTGGTAAACATACAAAAAACTACGGAAAATCACCATGTTTAATGGAAAAATCAACTATTTCTATGGCCACGTTCAATAAGAAACTGTTAAATTACCAGAGGGTATGTTCAACAACGGGTTTGAATCTCCCAGGAAATGTCCTGTCCGATCTTCCCATTGGGTCAAATCGTTCCAGAAAGATCCAGGTTTCGTCCCCAAATTGGTGACCACACAATGCCACCGTTGATATTCACTGAAATCTACCGTTAAAAAAAATATGTCTTTTACCCAAACGAAAAATATCCAACTAGTTGAACACCTGTTCTTTAAAATAACCAATTACTGTAAATCCACATCCACAAAATTACCATCTGGTGATCATGGCGTGGATGATTTTGTTCGATGGCTATGGATCAATACCTATGAAAATACCATATTTTTAGGGGGTTATTCACATCCATTTTAACCCAGCTATGACTTGATGTGAACTACAGGGGGATAGGGCACCCAGCAAGCTGTGAAGCGATGGCCCTTTCTTGGACTTTTCGATCCAGGACATCCCCTTGATTGGAGCGAAAAATCAAGGCAGAAACGACAGATCTGTGTGGACCTGGAGATCTGCCAACCGTTTCTGAACTTTTTATGGCCACTTCAATGGGAAAATTCATGGGAAAATCCATCGAACTATATAAATTAACTTTTGATGGGGGACTGTTCAGCAAGCCATGTTTGATCGCAAAAATATCGCTGGATGGTAATTGGATTTGATTGGCAAAATTGGTGATACCACCAATCAATGATTGGTTTACCATCTGGTTGAAGCAATTCTGAGGTAAGACTGATTCAGAATGCTGATTGTTTTCGTTGAAGGGAAAGAACTTCCCAATTTTTTCGGGGAATTTCCCCGGACGACCAGTGGGATACTGTTCCAAGAAAAAAAACCACTCGGTCGAGCATCGCAAATCACGGCCGGAAGAGAACAACACAAAGCTGTGCAAATCAAATACCAAGACCAAGAACACCAAACATATTTCATCATATCCAGTGATATTTCCCAATCAATACAATGGGATCCATATATTTCATCATATTTCCATTCTATCCAATGATATCCCACTGTATTCACCGACATCCAAAACGGGGGGTTCCCCACCTTTCGCTCGGCCATTTGGACAGGCCTGGCCGCGATTTTTGGACAGGCCCATCATGGGGAAATCTGTGGGTGAAATCAAAGCATAAATGATGAAACATGATAAGTTTTGATACATCATAAAACATCATAAAACATCATAAAGGCAATAAATGTTGGGGTCTTCATAGTTCAAAAATGTGAAACCCTGCGATTTCGAAGCACTGCTCGCAAGCCAACTGATCATGGGATCCGGGGGATCCTTATTGTGGGTTGTCCACATCGCGTATTGGTACTTTAACTGATGTGGAAATAGAAAAATCATGGTTTTTCATGAACATCAATAGTGGCAACAAACCATGATTGATCAATATTTTTCATAAACCACTCTTCAAAGCTTAAAAAAAAGTAATGTTGGATCCTGATTAGTGTGGGGATACTGAATTGTGTCCACAGACCTCAAAATTATTCTGAAACTTTGGAAATGATCGAGGGTACAGTTTTGTGTCCACAGGATTTTGGTGTAAGTTTTTTTTTTCATTTTTTTCATTTTTTTAGTTTTTAATTGTTTTTTATTTTATTTTAAAATTTTAAAATATTTTTTTTTTTATTTTTAATTATAATAATTTTTAATTTATTTTTTATTTTATTTTTTTTTTTAATTAATTAATTAATTAATTATAATAATTTTTAATTTAATTATTTTTTATTTTATTTTAAATTATTTTTTATTTTTAATTATAATAATTTTTAATTTAATTATTTTTATTTTTAATTATATATTTTTTTTATTTTGTAAAATTGTGTCAGGATACACAATTGTGTCATTGTGTCAGGATACACAATTGTGTCTTGGTCTTTTTTTGTTCTTCAAACATTTTTCATTTTTTTCATTTGTTTAAAGCTTTTACCTTTTACTTTTTATTTTCCATCATTGAAATTTTCCAGATGCCTTCCACAGAAAATTACATCCAGGTACAAAATAGTGTGGTTTGTTTGGAGGGTACACTATTGTGTCCAGCTGCTTTCCTGAGGTCATGATTTTTTTTTTCAATCATTTCCTTTACCTTTTCCTTTGCTAGCTAAAGTGTTTTCCTTTCAATTAATTTATTTCTTAGTTTCTTTCATTTGAAATTCTCAGCAATGACCAGTTTCCCAAAATATATGATGCCTTATTAAAACCAAATAAAAAAAAAACATCACACAAACAATTTTTCAAGGGGGTAGTCCATGAGCAACCCTGATACAGAATAGTGTGGTTTGTTTGGAGGGTACACTATTGTGTCCAGCTGCTTCCTGAGGTCATGATTTTTTTGTTTTTTTCAATCATTTCCTTTACCTTTTCCTTTGCTAGCTAAAGTGTTTTCCTTTTAATTAATTCCTTTCTTAGTTTCTTTCATTTGAAATTCTCAGAAATGACCAGTTTCCCAAAATATATGATGCCTTATTAAAACCCAATTAAAAAACATCACTCAAACAATTTTTCAAGGGGGTAGTCCATGAGCAACCCTGATACAGAATAGTATGGTTTGTTTGGAGGGTACACTATTGTGTCCAGCTGCTTTCCTGAGGCCATGATTTTTTGATTTTTTTCAATCATTTCCTTTACCTTTTCCTTTGCTAGCTGAAGTGTTTTCCTTTCAATCAATTTCTTTCTTAGTTTCTTTCATTTGAAATTCTCAGAAATGACCAGTTTCCCAAAATATATGATGCCTTATTAAAACCCAATTAAAAAACATCACTCAAACAATTTTTCAAGGGGGTAGTCCATGAGCAACCCTGATACAGAATAGTGTGGTTTGTTTGGAGGGTACACTATTGTGTCCAGCTGCTTTCCTGAGGTCATGATTTTTTGATTTTTTCAATCATTTCCTTTACCTTTTCCTTTGCTAAAGTCTTTTTTCTTTTAATTGCTTAATTACTTTCTTAGTTTCTTTCATTTGAAATTCTCAGAAATGCCCAGTTTCCCAAAATATATGATGCCTTATTAAAACTCCATCAAAAAACATCACGCAAACAATTTTTCAAGGGGGTAGTCCATGAGCAACCCTGATACACAATAGTGTGGTTTGTTTGGAGGGTACACTATTGTGTCCAGCTGCTTCCTGAGGTTATGTTTTTTTTCAACCATTTCCTTTTCCTTTTCCTTTGCTAAAGTTTTTTTCTTTTATGGTATTTCTATGGTATTACTATTGGATTTCTATGGAATTCCTATGAGGTCTCCATGATGTTTCTATGATATTTCTGGAGGATTTCTATGGGATTTCTGAAGGGGTGCTATGGGAGTTCTATGGTATTCTTATGGGATTTCCATTGGATTCCTATGGGATTTTTATGGTATTTCTATGATCTTTCCTATGGAATTTCTATTGGATTCCTGTGATGTTTCTATGATCTTTCTATGGGATTTCTGTGAGATTCTTATGGGATTTCCATGTTATTTCTATGATCTTTCTATGGGATTTCTGTGAGATTCCTATGGGATTTCCATGTTATTTCTATGATCTTTCTATGGGATTTCCTTGTGAGATTCTTATGGGATTTCCATGTTATTTCTATGATCTTTCTATGGGATTTCTGTGAGATTCCTATGGGATTTCCATGTTATTTCTATGATCTTTCTATGGGATGTCTGTGAGATTCTTATAGGATTTCCATGTTATTTCTATGATCTTTCTATGGGATTTCTGTGAGATTCCTATGGGATTTCCATGTTATTTCTATGATCTTTCCATGGGATTTCTGTGAGATTCCTATGGGATTTCCATGTTATTTCTATGATCTTTCTATGGGATTTCTGTGAGATTCTTATGGGATTTCCATGTTACTTCTATGATCTTTCTATGGGATTTCTGTGAGATTCTTATGGGATTTCCATGTTATTTCTATGATCTTTCTATGGGATTTCTGTGAGATTCCTATGGGATTTCCATGTTATTTCTATGAGAGATTCCTATGGGATTTCCATGTTATTTCTATGATCTTTCTATGGGATTTCTGTGAGATTCTTATGGGATGTCCATGTTATTTCTATGATCTTTCTATGGGATTTCTGTGAGATTCCTATGGGATTTCCATGTTATTTCTATGATCTTTCTATGGGATTTCTGTGAGATTCCTATGGGATTTCCATGTTATTTCTATGATCTTTCTATGGGATTTCTGTGAGATTCTTATGGGATTTCCATTTTATTTCTATGATCTTTCTATGGGATTTCTGTGAGATTCCTATGGGATTTCCATGTTATTTCTATGATCTTTCTGTGAGATTCCTATGGGATTTCCATGTTATTTCAGTTATTTCTATGATCTTTCTATGGGATTTCTGTGAGATTCCTATGGGATTTCCATGTTATTTCTTGATCTTTCTATGGGATTTCTGTGAGATTCCTATGGGATTTCCATGTTATTTCTATGATCTTTCTGTGAGATTTCTGTGAGATTCTTATGGGATTTCCATGTTATTTCTATGATCTTTCTATGGGGTTTCTGTGAGATTCCTATGGGATTTCCATGTTATTTCTATGATCTTTCTATGGGATTTCCATTCCCTTTACATTTTCCTTTGCTAAAACTTTTTTTATTTTCTCAATTAATTTCTTTTATTTAGAATTCTCAGAAATGCTCAATTTCCCAAAATATATGATGCCTTATTAAAACCCAATTAAAAAACATCACTCAAACAATTTTTCAAGGGGGTAGTCCATGAGCAACCCTGATACAGAATAGTGTGGTTTGTTTGAGGGTACACTATTGTGTCCAGCTGCTTCCTGAGGCTATGTTTTTTTTCAACCTTTTCCTTTTCCTTTTCCTTTGCTAAAGTTTGTTTCCTTTTACTTAGCTTCATTTTTCTTGGAATCAAAACCAAAGGCTTTCCAAAGGATTAGTTTCAGCCAAGCAAAAAAACATGAATGATCATGATACACAATAGTATGGTTTGTTTGAGGGTACACTATTGTGTCCAGCTGCTTCCTGAGGTGATTTTGTTTTTTAACATTCCCTTTACATTTTCCTTTGCTAAAATTTGTTTCCTTTTACTTAGCTTCATTTTTCTTGGAATCAAAACCAAAGGCTTTCTAAAGGATTAGTTTCAGCCAACCAAAAAAAAACATGAATGATCATGATACACAATAGTATGGTTTGTTTGAGGGTACACTATTGTGTCCAGCTGCTTCCTGAGGTGATTGTTGTTTTTTTCTTTTACTTGAAAGTAAATTGAAATCAATTGCAAGTAAATTGAAATCAATTGAAAGCAACTTGAAATGAATATGATCATGATACACAATAGTATGGTTTGTTTGAGGGTACACTATTGTGTCCAGCTGCTTCCTGAGGTGATTTTGTTTTTTTTACATTCCCTTTACATTTTCCTTTGCTAAAGTTTGTTTCTTTTATTTTCTCAATTAGTTTCTTTTGTTTAGAATTCTCAGAAATGCTGAATTTTCCAAAATATATGATGCCTTATTAAAACCCAATTAAAAAACATCACTCAAACAATTTTTCAAGGGGGTAGTCCATGAGCAACCCTGATACACAATAGTATGGTTTGTTTGGGGGTACACTATTGTGTCCAGCTGCTTCCTGAGGTGATTGTTTTTTTTCTTTTACTTGAAAGTAAATTGAAATCAATTGCAAGTAAATTGAAATCAATTGAAAGTAGCTTGAAATGAATTGAAAGTAACTTGAATTCAATTGAAAGTAAATTGAAATCAATTGAAAGTAAATTGAAATCAAATGAAAGTAAATTGAAATCAATTGAAAGTAACTTCAAATCAATTGAAAGTAAATTGAAATCATTTGAAAGTAAATTGAAATCAATTCAAAATCAATTCAAATCAATTGAAAGTAAATTGAAATCAATTCAAAATAAATTCAAATCAATTGAAAGTAAATTGAAATCAATTGAAAGTAAATTCAAATCAATTGAAAGTAAATTGAAATCAATTCAAAATCAATTCAAATCAATTGAAAGTAAATTGAAATCAATTTAAATCTATCATTTTTTTTTGATTTTACCGTATTCTGTACCCGGTACCTTGTTTTTTCCACACTATTCTGTAACGCAAATTTGTTTGGGGGGGGGGGGGCCTCCCCACACTAATCAGTAACCTACATTACTCATAAAGCACGGGGAACACAGCTGTAACTCTGGACAGATGTTCACATGGCTTTGTCTGAAAATATGGAACCCCAAAATCCCACTGGGTGATAATCATGTTTCCCTACAAAAAACAGAACCATTTTGGGGGATAATTATCCCCATGTCCAAACCCGCCCAAATCATATAATGTTGGTTACAACGGTTACAACCCAACTGAATTCCCATTAAATATCCATTCTATCCTCTATCCCATGAAATCCCTAATTAAGTGCAATAAAATCAGCCATGTTTCTTCGTTAAATCCCGCTGATGTCAACCGTCCATGGAGTCAGTCAGCCATCTCGGCTGATCAGACTATGACATGTGTCACCCCAAACAGGATACACAGGTAGATGTATATATACATATATACATCTAGATATATGGTTTGTGGCTAGACAATGATACATGCATAAACGCATCTTCACCTATCTATCTATCTATCTATGAAAGCACCAGCCAGGCTGTTGCGTCCTCGATGCCGCCACCGGATACCCCGACCTTGGCGGCTTGGCGGATGGTGTTTTTTTCCATGGATCCATTCATTGAATTAGCATCTTATCATGTGGAAACGATCCCAAATTTGTGGATAACTGGATAAATTAGCATCTAAACTGGATATTATTTGTGGATAACTGGATAAATCATCCCAACTTTATAAAAACATCGAATTAGCATCTAAATCCCTCATGTGGTTAAATGGTCGGGAATTTAGGTCAAATTGAAAGGAACCCACCTGGACCCAGGATGGACGGGGGGTCAGCAGTGACCTTATTTTGGCCTCCCCCAATAAAGCGTCAAGGACCCGGTTTCCTTCCGGGGCGCCCAGCGGCTTCGGGGCTGCACGAGAGACCTGCAGGGGCTGCTGAATGCCAAGGAGTTTGTGATGTGTAAATCATATCCCAAAAACAATGGCAATAGCCCTAAGATATCTGCAAATCCTGTGGTTGGTCATTGCCATCTTCTCCAATTGAATGGGATAATTCGGTATGTTATATTATAGTTTGTAATGATCATTTATGACCATTTATGATCATTTATGCTAGCTTGTTGCTCTAACACGTTAACTTTAGACCCCTATGTTACCTTAACTTTGACTTTGTGTTAGCTTAACTTTGACTTTCTTAACTTTTTATTTGTGTCACCTTGACTTTTTACCTGCGTCACCTTAATTTGTGCCTTTGTCACCGTTGGGTGGGGGGTCTGGAGGGTTATAAAATCACCCCAAAATGGGCCTATGTGTGTCCTCCGAAAAGCTCAAAATTCTGGTAGCTAGTGAACCCCAAAATAGCTGGTAAATGGATGTTCATCCCACTAAAAATGTATCTATAGGTATTGACCCATACCCATATAAGGTGACACAAAACGCGGTTCCCCACCAGAATAGGGTTTGTGTCACCGACTTTGTGTCACCTTAACTCCCGGACTTAAGGTGACACAAATTGGCTCATTTTGGGGTCATTTTGGATCAGATACCCTCTGGTTATGTCAAAATAGCTATTGAAAATTGCCATTTATAGTGGATTTACCCATTAAAAATGGTGATCTTCCATAGCTATGTTAAATTACCAGAGGGTAGATAGAGTGTGAGGATGAAGTCCGTCTCGACATAGCCGGGGACTGCACCCGATTGAGCATTGACGGTAAATCAAACTGACTAGCATCCGATCATTCCCATTGCACTTTCAAGAGATGAGATCTTATCTTGCAAAACAATTGAACAATACTCAGGTCATATTCATCATTATCATGAGAAGACCAAGCCAAACTAGACTGCAAAGGGCAAGTTGGGCGCCTGGGCAACGGATAAAGTGTTGAGACATGGGTGCCCCTCAGAGAAAGAACACATGGGACGGACATCATCCCTGGAGATGATGAAGAAACAGGGCTGACTCCCTTGGGGCCACCTTACAACATGGCCGGCGGGCTGGCCGAAGGCAATTAAATATCCCGGATTTGCTCAAATTAAGCTCCACTACACTTCTTCAACAACTTGGTCAGACCTTCCAGAAGCATTTGTTCAGTCTGCGTGCGTTTTGTTGTTGCTGATCCGCCAGCTCCACCCCGCAGCCAGTGTGAGCTCTGCGTGAACCTTTCAAAGCTGGCTTTGTGTTCATTTCTTGGAAAACTTCTTGGGATGGCGGTTTCTTGGTGGTTGCTCTTTTCTCCGCATGTTCTTTTGCTGCAGCTCAAAACTCCGAACAGAACGACTGACAGGTCTCTGCAGCAAGACAGGCAAAACCATTGCAGGCATTTGCGAGCCTGGCTGAGCATTGTCACCTCTTCCGATAGCGAGTTGCCACTTGTCGGCCCGCGCAAACCAAGCAAAGATCTTGTGCTGGGGGTAAGCCCAGAATATTGTGCGGGTCATCTTAGAACCCTTCCCAGATCCCCCACCAGACGGTGACAAAGGTAAAAGTTAAGGTGACACAGAGGGAGAAGTAGGCTGTAAAGAGACCCCTCCAAAACGTGGTAGAGCTACACCCTAATATATATATATATATATATAGATATAGATATATAGATATATAGATATATAGATATATAGATATATAGATATATAGATATATAGATATAGATATATATATATATATACACATATAACCACCAAATATGACATGGAACTATCCAACAATAGGGCCGGCCATGCTTTGGAATGCAGGTAAACTCAAAAATGCTTTCCCGTTTGGAAAATGATCTACAAATAATGGTCGGCTTGGAAAATGATCTGCGTTCGAGTACCCAACAAATATGGAAAATGGAGGTTTTAATGGGAAAACCATAGGAAAACCATAGGAAAACCATAGGAAAACCATAGTTCACCTGGTTTATACCCTCTGGTAATTTAACATAGCTATTGAAAATGACCCAGTCGAAATAGTGGATTTTTCCCATTGAAAATGGTGATTTTCCATACCAGAAGGTATTTTTTACTGGGCACCATGGAGAACTCTTGGATGTTGCTAGAATTCAAAGAATTCAATTCTTCCAGGCCACCGTACTGGTTTTTTTTTGACGAAAAAAGGGGGGATGGCATTGGAAGCCCCCAAAAGCCCCATTGGCAAGCCCCAAATGCCTAAATCCAAGAGCGATGGCGGCTAGCTGGGGGTACAGTTCCACTGAGTCTTGTGGCGTTATTTTTTATAACGCTAGTTATAAGAATTATGTGTTCCAACCTATGAAGGTTAGAATCCCATACTTATCTTCATTAATCACCATTAATGGCCATTAATAGCAATTGGTAGCCATTACTGTAATAGCAATAACCATTCACAGTTCATATTAACCAGTTATTTCTACAGTTCTACCGTATACCCATTGACAAGGCCAGGCTTGCACCCTGAGCCGTACATTGCCAGAAAGAAACCACGCCTCTGGAAGAGCTTTCGCTTCTCGGAGCCTGAAAAAGTGGATTTAAAAATCTGGGGTAGGGGGTGTCTTGCATTGTTTAGTCGAAAAATCAGGTTTTGAACATTTTAAACGATTTGGGTTTTGGGCGGTATCTTTTTTTTTGTTTAAACCCATTCCAGTGTAAAACCCAAGAACAGACAAAGGGGTTCGCCACCAAATGGTGGGAAGTTTGCTGCTGGAAAAAAATGGGTACGCACAAACCACATGGTGAATCTATATGAAAAGCAACACCTGCTATCTTTTCATGAGTCTTGTCCCTACTATAGGTGTGGAAGAGTTGTAAACCTAACAATGTCAGAAATCCTTCCCATGTTACCTTACCAATGCCTAACGTTTGAGTACCTAAACATTCCATCAGCATGCAAATGAATCCAGTATCATCTATGTAGCTTTGAACTTGACAGTGCATGCAACACTCATTCCAGGTAAGGTGATAAAAGGTGTTGCCACTATTTTACCAAGAGTAATGCATTGGACCCCCAGAAACAATTAATTGATACTTACTACAGTAAGAATAATAGCAATAATGACAATGATAGTAATGATAACAATAACATTTCAACAACAAAAATGATACTATAATAATAACAAGTATAATGATAGTAATCATGGTAATAATAATGATAATGATAATGATAACAATATAGAGACACATGTGATACTGATGAAGGATCAAAGTCAAAACACCCCCATTTTTGGCACCAATATCCCCCACCTTCGCAGCCCAACAGCTGTGATCGGACGATTTCCCCATGTTTTGTTCAATCCACATGTCAATTCCACAAATCCATGGAAAGTACCCTCTGGTAAACTAACATAACTATGGAAAATCACATTTTTTTCTGGGAAAATCCACTATTTCTATGGCCATTTTCAATAGCTGTTTGTATGTTTACCAGAGGGTAATCATCCAATTCCCCAGGATTCCCATTTCCATGGTAACCCCATAACGGCGACCTCTTCCATAGAAAGGCTGCGCGGTTCTTCTTGGGGTCACTTGCTCGGTACCTTGACTGGGCAAAGGAGGCCGTGGTGTGTCTTGTGAGAGTCTTTGTCAAAATGTGCATATGTCTTGCCCTTTACATCACATGAATACATGTATAGATATATATGTATGTATATGTATGTATGAACATTTGACTTAAAAATATTGCCTTATATATATACACATATGGTTGTATATATGTTATATATGTATATATGGTTATATATATATACACTTGTAATGCATATATACATATACCCAGCTCCGCAAACCACTGGATGATGGTATTATTTATTGGGGAATGTTATCTCACAGCATCACCCAATGAGCAAGTGGCTCATACATGTGTATAATATGTATATATATATATAGAAAATCCCAGCTAGTCCATTACCCACAGTTAAGAAAAAACATGCGATACGCATTCAAGGAGACTTCTTGTTTGTGGTTGAATGTGTTGGTGCATCCATGTATTGGTTGAAGACATTGTTTGAATACCAAGACCCAATATGAAAAATCTGCTTGGTTCCCTTGGTCCTACCACTAAATTTAGAAAATGCAACGAGAATGGAGACCCACAAACTTGGAGGGGCGTAGACTTAGAGACACATCAGTGTGGGTGAAAATGGTATCTGGAAAAATGCTGAAGTCTGCAGAGACTCTTAAGTCGATCTTGTGTTTTGAGTTCTCACTATCTAGACACTACTTACAGGCGTTCATGCTGGCAAAATGATGAAAGCATGTGCCTAGCTGCAGACTTAAGATTTCCAAGTGCCTGAGCTACGAAAAACTGATTTTGCCACTGCTTCACAATTCATTGTGACGTGCTTGTTGCCAATTTCAAACAGTCCAAAGAATCTTGGTGTCAATTGAGATCATGATCCCAAATTTAAAATCTTTGAAACTTCTGAAACCACCAATCAGAATTTCCCCTCGGTTTTTGGAACTTGTTGGATCTCTTTTTTCCCCGGAAATCCGGGTTGTTCGCGGCGCGCCATTGGACTTTCTCGGGCTTCTGGAGCAGGTCGCCAGGGTCCATGAAGTAGGACCTGAAGGATTTCGACAGTGACCAGAGTTGACAATAATCTGATGTGAGGGGAATTTGAAGTTGAGACTTTCCTTCAAACCAATTGGTTTGAGGAGGATCATTGAAGTGTAGTAACTTTCCTACCATTTCACTTCTTTTTCTATGATTACTGTTGGAATTGTGGAAGCCAGCTCAGCACCTAGAGCCTAGTGGCACCAGCGGACTAGTTCGATTGGGGTTCCATAAACCCACAAACATCATTGCAATTCCGTAGAAAAAACACGGAGGATGTGAAGACGAGGTGAGCATTTTTTTCATGATCCGCAATGGTTCTTTTACAGGACAAAATGCTTCCCCAAATGTAGAAGGAAACCTTTGGAAATGTACTGGTTTTTGTCGATAGATCTAAACATCAAGGATCATCTTACAGCCAATTGCTGAGTTTTCACCTACCAATCGCAGCCATTGGTTGAAAAAAGAACGACTGGACTGATGCTATTAAGTCTGGACATGGACACGCCAACCTTCAAAGGTACAGAACATCATCCAGCGATGCCTTACAACCAAACCCAAAATTATCAAAACTTAATCACTTTGGGAATATAAGTTGATACTAATTTCCATAATTAACCCAATTAGCAGTTGGGGAAAGTAGTGGATTTAAAAGCGTTTTGATAACCACCAGGCTGTTTTTTGCCCAAATTTTGGTCCCGGATCAGGACACCAATTTTGATCCTTTGTCTTGATGGCCGCACAAAACGCTATGGAAAATGGCCCATAGAAATAGATGGTTTACCGAACTAAAAATTGTGATTTTCTATAGCTATGTGAAATTACCAGAGGGTACATAATGATACACACAATGTGGGTAAAACAATGTCATCCACCATCCCCCAAGTCGTCACTATTTTTATAGGTGATAGTCTTAGCATTCCAAAATGGGTGGATGACATTCCAGAGCTTTAGTCCTACCCCTCGGACTGGGAATCAGGCTGACCCCACCACAATCGACATGACCCTGCGTCGAACGAGAGCTTAAACCTGACCAATCGCATGGATTGATTGGTACAACCACAACGGTGGAGTGTCATAGGATTGATGGTCTGCAATTACAGTATCGGGAATACGTAAGAAAATAAGGAATTTAGCCGCAAAAATTGGGATGAAACCATTTTATTGGGATATGATGGGATACACTAGGATACTGTATAACTAGGAATTGTGGGAAGTGCTTTGATATCCCAAGGTAGTTGCTAATTACACGGGGGGTGCAAGATCTTTCTTCGGTTTCTTGAAGACACTATGTGGCATTTTCTGCCACTGAAAACACCATCCAATTTTAGGGGGGCAAATCTTAAACCATACCCAAATGGTCCCAAATGAAGGTAATGAAGGTTTCCTGAAATGGTGCTACCATTTTAGACTCGACTTTTTCATGAAATAAACCATCCAGCTATGGGGGAACCCCCATGACTCCATGAAATCTCCAACATCCCCCAAAAATGGGCGATTAACCAACGTCAAAAACGCAAGCTTTTTTCTTGAACCACCCAACAAAAAAACAAGGTACCCTCTGGTTATGACTAACATAGCCATGGTATAGATGGCCCATAGAAATAGATGATTGTCCCAGCGAACGAAACCTCCATTTAGTTTGGGGATTTTCCATGGCAAACTGTTAGTCATAACCAGATGGTATTTCAAAAATTACTTCACTTCGAATGATCCCCACCATGGCATTTATACAGTTTCTTACTGGCAAATCTTCTGGCATTCTATCTGACATATCTTCTGACATTCTATCTGGCATATCTTCTGACATTCTATCTGGCATATCTTCTGGCATTCTATCTGGCAAATCTTCTGGCATTCTATCTGGCATATCTTCTGGCATTCTATCTGACATATCTTCTGGCATTCTATCTGGCATATCTTCTGGCATTCTATCTGGACATATCTTCTATCTTCATTCTATCTGGCATTCTATCTGGCATTCTATCTGGCACATTCTATCTGACATATCTATCTGGCATATCTATCTGGCATTCTATCTGCAATATCTCATGGCATTCTATCTGACTATCTGATCTATCTGATCTTCTTGCATTCTATCTTAATTTCTGACTATCTGGGCTTCTATCTGGCATCTTCTGGCATATCTTCTGGCATATCTTCTGGCATATCTCTGCATTCTTCTGGCAATCTTCTATCTGGCATATCTTCTGGCATTCTATCTGCATATCTTCTGGCATTCTATCTGGCATATCTTCTGGCATATATTCATCTGACATATCTATCTATCTTCTTCTGGCATATCTGCATCTCTGGCATATCTTCTGGCATTCTATCTGGCATATCTTCTGGCATATCTTCTGGCATATGTTCTGGCATTCTGGCATCTGGCATTCTTCTGGCATTCTATCTGGCATATCTTCTGGCATTCTATCTGGCATATCTTCTGGCATATCTGTTCTATCTGGCATATCTTCTGGCACTCTATCTGGCATATCTTCTGGCATATCTTCTGACATTCTATCTTTGGCATTCTATCTGGCATATCTTCTGGCATCTTCTGGCATTCTATCTGGCAAATCATTCTGGCACTTCTATCTGGCATATCTTCTGGCATTCTAGCTGGCATCTATCTGGCTTCTGGCATATTTCTGGCATATCTATCTGGCATATCTTCTGGCATTCTATCTGGCAAATATCTTCTGGCATTCTATCTGGCATATCTTCTGGCATTCTACTGACATATCTCTGGCATTCTATCTGCATTCTATCTGGCATATCTTCTGGCATTATATCTGACATATCTTCTGGCATTCTATCTGCATTCTATCTCTATCTTCTGGCATATCTTCTGACATATCTTCTTGGCTTCTATCTGGCATATCTTCTGATATCTTCTGACATCTATTATTTCTGACATTCTTTCTGGCATTCTTCTGACATTCTTGGCATATCTTCTGACATTCTTTCTGACATTCTTTCTGGCATTCTATCTGGCATATCTTCTGACATTCTATCTAACATCTTTTCTTCCCGTTGAGGTCCGGCAGTGCCCACTGGGATCTGCCCACGGTTGAGGTCCGGCAGTGCCCACTGCGATCTGGAAGTCGCGGTTGAGGTCCGGCAGTGCCCACTGGGATCTGGAACTCGCGGTTGAGGTCCGGCAGTGCCCACTGGGATCTGGAAGTCGCGGTTGAGGTCCGGCAGTGCCCACTGGGATCTGGAGCTCGCGGTTGAGGTCCGGCAGTGCCCACTGCGACCTGGAAGTCGCGGTTGAGGTCCGGCAGTGCCCACTGCGATCTGCAACTCGCGGTTGAGGTCCGGCAGTGCCCACTGGGATCTGGAGCTCGCGGTTGAGGTCCGGCAGTGCCCACTGGGATCTGGACTGCGAGGAGGAGGCGGCGGGTGAGGAGGCGGAGGAGGAGGAGAACAGCTCGAACAAAATCTAACAACCCTCACCTGGCAGGTGGGGAAAAACACAAAAATCCACAAAAAATCTATCCGAAGACTCCTAAGTCCCAACGTCTTCGTATCTTGATGAATCACCAACAAAAAAAGTCTTAAAACGCAACAAAAATTGATCCCCACCTCCTTGATTCTCCGCCATTGCTCCGCACACCTCATGTCTGATACATATCGGCTACGTACATTGAGATATTTATTATTATCTATATTATACATAGTCTCTATGGTTATAATATTAAATATGTTTATAGACCATGGTCTACCACATAGATGTACATCTCATATATTATATGATATGATACAATATCATAGTATATTATACAGAGAGGGAGAGAGAGACCATGTACATATCCATGCAGTATGTACGCATCTGTGTGAGCGAGATAAGTTGAAAAATTGGAGTATCACTGATGGGATACCACTGATGCAACCAACAAGAACCAGGATTTTATCATGACGTTTGGGCAAGTGACCATTGGTTTACCAATGTTCTTGATTCCCGTGCTTTTCTGAATCCTATCCTTGGATTATGAGTTCCGAGTCACTTTAAGTTTCACTGGTGACTTGCTGGTTCCGGTGCCTACATGGCTATCCTTGTAGATGACTGGCAGTCGGATAAAACCCAAGTTTTGCGGTGAAATCCAACTTGGGGTTGCGGTTGACACCCACTTGGTTTTTTCCAGAGGCCCGAAGGTCATGACACGTGACCCTCGGGACCCTCGGCCGATTTGTTTACCCTAACTCAAGAAAAACACACTCATCAGTTGGCTATCACCCCAGTTGAGTCCTACTTCACCTCAGGGACAGTCGTTGCAAGCCACAACTCTAAGCATAGCCAGATCCCCTAAGGTCCTTGGCCCAAGCCAACCGCAAACCGCGAATCACTAATTTCAATCTGCTTTCCAGTCACTAGAATGGTGCCATATTTTTGGGAAACTTCACTAGAATGGGGCCACAAAAAATGGGAAACTTGCTCTACTACTACTACTGGAGTGGCCAACTTGATCAACGACTGATCAACTGATCAACTGATCAACTGATCAACGGCTGAGCTTCAAACAGGACCAGCTGCTGGCGAATTCAAAGGCATACGTCTCATTCAAGTCCCGCTCCTCCAGAATGGCCACGGGCAGGTTGGACCCCTCTTTGGAATGGGACCTCGAGCCTCCCCCCGAAAAAAGTCCCTGGTTCTGGGACCTGAAATTCATGTTTGCCCTGGTTCCGGACATCATTTTTCAAGTGAGTACTCTCCAGCAATCTAACCATGAGCTGGAAAATTGCCCGCCAAAAAATGAGATTGAATATAGAATGATTCATGATTCTATACATATTACAATGATTCTCCCATCATATAAATGCATGATAATATACAACAATAAAAACAACAATGACTGTACCAATGGCAATAACAATAATTAAATAACAATAACAATAAGAAGAATAATTTACAATAGTAATACATTTATGATATGCATCTTCTGTATAATGGTTCTCCACCCAGCCATATCAGCCACGTTGAAAAATGCTGGATGCTGTTACCAATGCAACAAACTTTTCGTGCGGTGGTTGTGTTAACCTCCATTGGAATGTCCCGGAAAAATTGCAAAAAATGGTGCCCCTGAAGTTTGAAGGAGAGTAGTATTTTTTTGCGGGCAACCACTGCAACATGCGAATTCCACCTACTGTCAGGTGAAATGCTGAGGAATATTTTTGGGTTTGTCTAACCATCTATGATTGGGCAAGTCAGTGGACTGAATTTGCATTGGGCGACCATAATGGACCAGGAAATTCACTTGAACCATGCAGGATTAACTGTGCCATGGTCAAGTTACATGGGTTACTATGGTTTGTGGTTATCTCATGATGGCTAATTATATAATCCCCGAACTTAATGGAGGATGAGCATCCACCAATATGGCGATACAATATTATACAATGCAACCATGGCACGCTTCATTTTGTTTTCCAAAGGTTGATGAGAATCGAACCATGCTTCAGAGAGGTGACCGCTTTGGTGGTTCATGTCATTATGAGTTCACCTACAGCCCAAATGGGGGATGCACCAAAATACAATTCGATTGATAGGGAAAAAATTGATCGTCTCGACCATGAAATCTTTGGCCCAAATTTGAGACCACCCCCTAAAAAATGTCATGCATAGGTAGTATTATCCAGTTTATTCAGCAGATAGGATGCACATCGAAGCAGTCCTGAAGTAGACAGAATATGGGATGCTTCAAATTATGTCCATTCTAGTGAGGATGGTTTGAAAATTTCAGATTCTATCTAATCACTAGTCCAGGATGACGGATAAAATCAAGAAATGCTATGAATTTCCGGTCTTCACAAGATGAAGCCCCCAAAAGTGATGTTTATTGGTTTAGTGTCACCAGGTGAATTCATATATATATATATAATATATATATATATATGTATGAATATATATCCCCCAAAATCAAGCATAGAATTCACTAAGTCTTTGTTGGTTTTTTGTTTGTTGGTTCACTATAAGACTCCCATAGACCCGTGAAGCAAGTTGCAGGGCGGTCCTTCCCCCAAATGAAATTCAGGTTCTTCTTCACTTCAGCGATGGTCAATGGCATTTCTCAGCCTCCACGCTGTGTTTAGCTGGGATCCATGATTCGTAAGTTGGCTCCCAAACAATCCCAGATTGGAGGGAATAAGTGCACTAAGCCAAAGATCACAAGCAAGCTACATCCCACTAAACGTTTTTTGAATTTCAGGGATCCAAATGACACATTTCCTTTTGGAATATCATCAACAGCATGGGAAGAAGAGTGTCAGCAATTCTCCACAGCCAAGTTCCTGAAATTGATCATCAGCTATTGGACACTGCATTTGGTGGCCATGTCTCGTCTCAATGGTTTGATTGGTACTAGTGCAAGTTCAATAAAACCTGTTTTCCCGGTCAAAGATAAAACATTCGCAGCTCGATTTTTCCTGAAATCACTGAAATCCCTTCTGGAGCATCATCTTTTGGAATTGTTTATGCAATATTGGGGACTTCTTAAAGCCAAAATATAAGGCAGAGGGCGGGGGTCATAGAAAGTGGACTGGTAAAAACTATGATTACGTCTATGAATGTATATATATATATATATCATATATCTCTCTCTATCTATATTGTGATTGTCAGTCATGCTGCAACCATGTCCGCCCTGTATAATCAAGCTGGTCCAGCTGCTAAAGTAAAGGCAAGCCTCTGTGAAGGCTTTGCGGCTCAGGGAGCTTGGAGAGGGTGGGTGGGAAACCGTTGCCAGTGAGCCATTGGATCCTTAGGTGACAGGGTCACCAACCTGGTGTTTTGGACGTGGCAGTCCATTTTGCATGTGGAGAGTGTGGTGCAGAGACCTTTTGTGCAACCATTTGCAGGCCAAAACAGAGCAGCGGATTATCTGAAGCCGTGGTGAGATCGTTGTATGAGGACACCTTCAATTCTTGGGACTTTAGATCATTCTGTGCCTGTTCCTGCGTGATTACATTGGTAGCGGAGCTCCGGCTCCAGCTCCAAAGTTCCAGATGTGACATCAGATGGTGACGGCCAAAGCAATCCTCGAGTGAATTCACAGTTGGCATCTTTGGTACCGAGCTTTGATCCATCAAAGGATGATTTGCAGACGTATCAGAAAAGAGTACAGCTTGTGTTGGCAGCATGGCCAAAGACTCGAATCACCCTGGCAACGCGAGTAATTCTGAATTGCCAAGGTGGTGCGTTTGACAAGCTGCAACTGCATCAAACCGAGCTGATGGAGAATGATGAGAAATCCGTCCAGCGTATCATCACGTTGTTGGGGAGACACTGGGGCATTCGTAACCCCAACTTGAGTGAGATTCACCAACACACCCAAGCCTGTCAATTTGACATGTGCCGTGCCGGCGATTTGAGGGATCCCGAAAACAAGCAACACATGAAGAAGGGAATGGTTGTTTTGACCACTTATCCACCACTGTTCAACTACCTTCATGTGGCAAAACATGACCAACACCAACATCAACCAATTGAAGGATCATGTAAACCTCATTCAATTAGCCCATCCATTTTGAGATCACAATACTCTGAGACCTACACCCGCAAATTTGCCAGACCAGTAGTCAAAGTGTTGATGGCCGGTGGCCAACAATGGCCTTACAGTTGGAGTCCTGGTATGTTGAGTTTTGCACATCAAGACACTATACTGCCTGTGCTGCCTCGTCGGTCAAAGTTCGAGGATCACGGCAGTTTGCCCGTTCCGAGCTTGTTCAACCAGTAGCTCATGCTGGCCCAGGTGACAAACGGCAAAAGACTGATAGTAGGCAAGGGAACGCGCCATCCCTAGAAGCATGTCAGCAGGTCATCCAGATGACCAGTGCCAATTTTCCCAGGGTTGCGAAAAGCAGATTGTCAAGGTTGTAATATGTCAAGGATCTGAGAGGACGTTGGCACCGCCAACAAACATGCACCAGCAAGAAGCACCGTTTCGTAAGCCTTTGTTGCTTAGACGTGATGGCAGCCTTCAATATGAGAAGAACTGGGAACGTTGGACCCACTCGGCCCAGAGACAGCTTGCATGTCCAGCTCATGCCAGCAGACTGAACATCACAGTGTTTGCAAAAAAATTGGGAACCCGTGAAACACATTTGCCTGACAATGCAGGACCTAGTTCACCGGTGCCATCTAATAATCATGCCAACACGGAACCAGCTGGTGATTTGCCAGTGCCTGATAGCGTAGACGCAAACTCCGAGCCACAGCAAGTCATGAGGGCAGCGACCGTTGCCAACAAGGCTTTCCGAGGTGGGAACCGAAGAGTTTCCAAATCGAACAACATCCGATGCAAGTGATTCCACGACCGCTCCCGAAGTGCCAAATGCCGAGAGACGGATCCCATACTGAAACAGCAAACACATCGCTTCCAGCAACTTCTAACATGAAAACATGACAATTCTCCGAATGCAAAAGAATCTCGGACATTCGTCCAATGACCGATTGGCCAAGGCACTTCAAATTAGCGGTTATCGATCCGAAGTTGTTCAGGCTGCTCAGGAGATTCAGTGCCAGGTATGCGCAGCTAATGCACCCCCAAAGCATGCCCGCTCTTAAGCACATGCTAGACTTCAATCACAAAATCTATGTTGATGGGACAACCTGGACCAATAAAGCGGGTAAGAGTTACCACTTCTACCGTATTTTTGGATGCTGGCACCAATTATAACGTTGCCATCTCAGCTCCTTCCAAGACCACTGAGGACTTCATCCACATGATGACTCAACAGTGGATAAGCTGGGCAGGACCACCGGTAGTTGATTCTGACAACTTTGACACACATCTTTCACACACAACTTTGTCACACACCATCTTGCATACACACCATCTTTCATACACCCCATCTTTCACACACCAACTTTGTCACACACCATCTTTCACACACTAACTTTCACCATCTCTCACCCACGATCTTTGTCACAGACCATCTTTCACACACAACTTTGTCACACGCCAACTTTCACCATCTTTCACACACCACCTTTGTCACACACTATCTTTCACACACAACTTTGTCACACACCATCTTTGTCACACACCATCTTTGACTTCGTTTTGCGTGGCAAGCGTTGCACTTGGTGACATCCACCTTCGTTTCGCATGGCAGGCGTGGCACTTGGTGACATCCACCTTCGTTTCGCGTGGCTGGCGTGGCACTTGGGGCACTGGGCTGGCTCTGGTGGCGCGCTTTTTGCGCGCTGGGTCGCCCAGGGCGCCGTGCCTCTTTGCATGGGCGTGGCACTTGGTGACATCCACCTTGGTTTTGCGTGGCAGGTGTGGCACTTGGTGACATCCACCTTGGTTTCGCGTCGCAGGCACGACTCCAGACGCTCATTGGCAGAACGGCAAGATAGAACTTCATGGCAGCTTTTTGCAAACAATGCCGGAAAAAATGGATATGGAATATCCCATCCAAGACTACAATGCACTACAAACGGCTCTGAACCAGGCCACTCATGCCAAGAACTCACTCAGTATCAGACATGGTTATGCACCACGGATAGTTGTGTTACGTGTTTGGTAAACACTCTGGATTGCCCGGATCTGTTTTGAGTGATGAATCTTTGCCAGCTCACGAGCACCTGATGGCAGAAGATGCTACCATTTCCAGCCAAGAGTTCCGTCAACTGCTGAACATTCGTGAGGCCGCTCGTTGTGCCTACCACATGGCCGACAATAGCGATGCGCTTGGAAGGGCAGCATTATACGCCAAGCTTGTCCAAGCCGGGGACAATTTGGTAAAGGGGAATGGGTAATGATTTGGCGAACTAATCCTCTCAAACAGTTACGATGGCAAGGACGGACCCCATAGAGTAATCATTCAAGACGGTCAACATGCTGTGTGGTGTACCTCAAGGGAAAAAATATCGTAGTGCTCCCGAAAATACCCGAAAAGCTTTTCCACAGGAGGGCACCCCAGAAGGCCCAGAACTTCCTGAAGATGTCACGCCACTCATGATGTAGATCCAGAGAATGCAATCCCATGACAATAATCCTGATGAGATGGGCCTCTCCAATCAAGACAACACCTCAAGCCTTAATCCACCAAATTATCTCCCAGGCAATAACTCGCATAATAATCAATCCAGTGATATTGCCCACGATGCCAACCAGACAGCCAACAACCAAATGGAGAGAGAGAGAGAGAGCGAGCGAGCGAGCGAGGGAGGGAGGGAGGGAGGGAGGAGAGAGAGGAGAGGGAGAAGAGAGAGGAGAGAGAGGAGAGAGAGGAGAGAGAGGAGAGAGGGAGAGAGAGAGAGAGAGAGAGTCAGAATGAATCCACGTCACAGCCAGATCACGAACCAGAAAAATCAAATTGAGAGCGATGCTCCAACAACTTCCGACGCAGATCCAGAAGAAGATCCAATCCTTCACAATCAAGCAACACAACATGAAGTGATCATGCTCACATGTCATGAGCCAGAAAATGCTCTCACCAGTGCGGAAATGCAAACCCTTGCATGGAGATGTGAGTTTGACATGGATCTAGGACTTCCTCTTGATCAACATGTGCCAACTGGTGAAGAATCATGGGCAATGTTGGCAACCACCGCCAAGAAACAGAGATTCGAAGTTAAATTCACCACCAAGTCAGTTCTACCTGGCATATGGGAAAGGGCTATCTGTTCAGCTGGGGCCAGTGGGATGCCCTTTGCTCCAGCTGCAGCCCACGCTGCAGCCGGATGGCGAACTTGTTCACTCCAACATTCTTCGTCAGTGGCCAAGACACGAAAACATGTCGTCCACGGCATGTCAGGATCTCAATCTGGTTCTTCGCGGTGTCCACCCTCAATTTGCGCCTGGTTTTGTCTAGACGCTCAGCACGGGCTTTATCTTCAGCTTGATATATCAACCCCCAACATCTGGGCCATTGAAGTACAAGGCGTTCAATGGCCTTCTCATAGATCTGAAGGGATGCCAAGCTTGAAATCCTGAGCATCAGGCATGCTGCTTTGTATAAGCGCCATGATGTCAGCCATTGCTGAAGATTTTGGGGGCCTGGAAGCTCTCTCATAATATATGACCCGTCCCCCAAGGGGTGGTGAACTCAAAACTTTTGGGCTTTCAAACGCTTACGGCCGAATGGCGTAAAGATGGCCAGGTCGGTATACAGTGGACGTTTGAAAATGAACGTCTTCTTGTGCAAGGCGGCCAATTGTGCATCCGGGGCGGGCTGCCCATTCTTGTTATATGTATGTGCTCATCCATTGATCCACCTGATCTCTTAGTTGCAGGTGTCAGCTCCGAATCATCTGACGGATCCAACAGGGCTGGCATCCTCAGCACCCGCTCTTTGAATGCAACTGTGCCTGCACTGATCCCTCCGGTAAGCCAGACCACATATGCACCAGTTTTCTAGGTGCCCGCCAAACCAGCCCCACATGCGCGGAAAAACCGGCACCTGTACAATCATCGTTTACGGGAGGGTGGCGATGAGTCGAACATGATGTCCTGGATCCCTGTTGTAGAAATGCCCCCCGCAATCCACCAGGAATTGTGTAGGTAGTCCAAGAGCTCCCTCAAAGTGGAGATGCCCAGCAGCTCGGGGACTCCGCAGGCAAGGCGCTCGCGGCCATAGCCACAGCAAGAAGGAAACCAACCCCCTTCTAAACTCCAGGGGAATCCTTCCTGCCCACATTGTAGCAAAATGGCCAGGCAACCACCTCCCTTTGCCCTTATTACTTTGTCCATCACAAACAAGTTTGTTCTACACAAATTAAACTAATGATGATAAACGGTCATAATCTAATTTGGCTTTTGGTTTTCCAAATTTTGAGGCCACTCAAGTCACACCCATGGCATGGCTACCGCCGCTGCCTGGCTGCATCGTATCGCTCATAGGCGAACTGCCTAGAAATTCGTGGCTGCGGTTATGTCTCAATGGGGAACCCTCCCATTTTCTTGAATTTGCAGGAAAACCGTATCAACCCACAATCAACAAATACAGCTGCTGATCTATCTCACATGGATGGATTTGGAATTTTTAGTTTTGTGCAAGTGGGAGCTGCCCACAGGAGCGGTTGGCATTCTGAAAGCTTTGCAGCCAGAAAGCAGCGGAAGAGCGCGAACAGAAACAGTGAAAAGGACATCCACCAAAACTTGGTTCTGATATAACCAATCGAAGGAAGTTTAGAAGTCAAGATAGATACAGAAGTAGATAGATGGACGGGAAGAAAGAAAGATAGGTAGAGAGAGAGTAGAGAGAGGGAGATAGCTAGTGCTGGACAGACAGACAGACAAACAAAGAGACAGACAGACAGATAGAGAGGAAGAGGGAGATAGAGATAGATAGACAGAGCGAGGGATAGAGATCGAGAGAGATAAACAGATAGACCGAGAGAGAGAGGGAGAGAGAGAGAGAGAGAGAAAAAAAGAGACACAGAGAGACACAGAGAGACACAGAGAGACACAGAGAAGAGACACAGAGAAGAGACACAGAGAAGAGACACAGAGAGACACAGAGAGACACAGAGAGACACAGAGAGACACAGAGAGACACAGAAAGAAAGAAAGACAGAAAGACAGAAAGAAAGAAAGAAAGACAGAAAGAAAGAAAGACAGAAAGAAAGAAAGACAGAAAGAAAGAAAGACAGAAAGAAAGAAAGACAGAAAGAAAGAAAGACAGAAAGAAAGAAAGAAAGACAGAAAGAAAGAAAGAAAGACAGAAAGAAAGAAAGAAAGAAAGAAAAGGAAGGGAGGAAGGAAGGAAGAAAGAAAGAAAGAAGAAAGACAGAGAGAGAGAGAGAAAGAGAGAGAGAGAGAGAAAAAGAGACACAGAGAGACACAGAGAGACACAGAGAGACACAGAAAGAAAGAAAGACAGAAAGAAAGAAAGACAGAAAGAAAGAAAGACAGAAAGAAAGAAAGACAGAAAGAAAGAAAGACAGAAAGAAAGAAAGACAGAAAGAAAGAAAGACAGAAAGAAAGAAAGAAAGACAGAAAGAAAGAAAGAAAGACAGAAAGAAAGAAAGACAGAAAGAAAGAAAGAAAGAAAAGGAAGGGAGGAAGGAAGGAAGAAAGAAAGAAAGAAAGAAGAAAGACAGAGAGAGAGAGAGAAAAAGAGAGAGAGACTCGGAGCCTCAACCACCTTTCGGTCCATCAGTGGGTTCGCTCTGCCATCCATGCATCACAACAACTCGCCTCTCCTATAAGTTTCCTATCTTTGAAACTTCCGCCACCGCCTTGTACGGCACTACTGGTATGACCAGCAATTAAGGTCGATAGAAGTTCTGTCAATGAATCCCGTACGGGGCCGCTTGATCAGCCTCTCTCTAAATCATGAAGGAAAAGATTTGCAGCTACCTGAAACTAACAAAATCGAACCCAAGTAAAAAGCTAAGTAAGCCACAGAAACTAGAAATACAAAGTAAAAATATATCCACCCACCAGCTATGTGCCGATACCTTGCCAACCCTTCAGGTATATAAACATGTCCTTGCCCTATCAATATTTGTGTCGCAGTCCAGTCCAATCCTCTCCGCATTCTGGTCTTCTTTGCTACAAAATCACACTTGCTTTGTCATGCCACATCTGAACTTTCGGACATGACCGCCAGGCTGCAAGGATTCATTTTTATCCTTCCCTTAAGCCGGCTTCGCAGGTGGTAGCGCATCACACCAAATGTGTGTGGTGTTGTCAGCTGCCACAAATTTCTTCGTCCGTGAAAAGCAGCGACTTTCGCTGCACACGCCACGCCCGCCCAGCGGTGCGACCTCTGAGGCTCCCCTGCAGCCCAGTGCTGAAGGTGGATCTGATCTAAAATTGTCATGGGGTTCGTAGCGACATTTTTTTCACAAATGGAAGAGTGGTTCCAATATGTTCCAATGTCTCCGATTGGATTGCCTCATTAAAGGCAAACCTTCTCTGATGTGTCAGTGACTGAAGCGGTTGAGAAAATAATATTTGGGTTTTCCCTGGAAGCCAACTTCGACATCATGACTTCAGCCTGAAAGATATCGCAAGTTTGTCCCAAAAAATCTTCACGTTGCGCACCAAATGCACTACAAAATATAGACCTGTCTGCCTCGTGGCCTGTAACGGGCCGCGTGTCTTTTGCCAGCACAAGTGGATAGCTTCGTTGGGTGCAGTTTCCACTGTGCTCTGCACCCCCCTGCGAATAAATAGGATGATGTCAACGGAAGTTTCCTGTGAATAAATAAGACAATGAAAACAGAAGTTTACATCTTTTCAGATGTGTCACCCACACACACACGCTGTTTGGGGTATCTTGCCGGTGCAATTTGACACCCTGTCAAATGGGCCCACGCTCCATGATATTCATGGACACAAGAGAGGACAGATTTGGGGATCACGCTGCAAACACCTGCATCAAATGAATAAGGATCCATACACTGCTTCGTCGATTCGTCTTCCGCTGTCCTTGTGGAAGCATCACCTCTTGAGGATAACGAAGCACAGAAAAGGATTTGGTTGTGGCAACACAATCCCATCAAACCACGGCAAGGGTTACTCAAAGGATTACTCTAACTTTCTGCACCGGCATTCACAGCTGCGTATACGTATGCGTTGCAATTTGCACATACCTATGATCTTTTGTTTTTATGACATAGGCAGGAGATCATCGGCAGGAAGGGTTCAAACACAGAGACAGTTCGATGTTCATCTATTTTCGCACTTGGACACCTCCAGTTTCTAAGTCGAATTGCTTCGTTGCTTTTGATTTGTTTTTGGCTCGCGGCTATTCAATTTCTGCCGGAAAGGGGCCATGTCCCACTTTCCAAAAAAGACTTGTGTAGCACTGCAACTTCAAGAAATTCCAACTTCTAATTTTCCACAAAGTGTTGTTGCTGATCCGCTACAGGCGTCAATTTCTAGCAACTGAAATCTAAATCTGATGCTCTCTCCAAACTACACCTCCAGCTGCCGGTCGCAGTTGCTGGGACAGGACGCTTCTTACACACATACCACGTTGCAAACTCCCGGGAAGTTGCAAATGGCTGCGATGCAGCGTTGGTACATCTTAATCTCTTGGGTTTCTTGGGTCTGGCAGTTGGCATTCATCGATGTACCCTTTAGCCAGTAGGCCTGGGGCTGCAAAGATTGATTTGATGCTGAAACGACATGGAAAGTAGCTGGCCAGGCCCAAGCTGTGCGCTAAATAAACACCTCTTTGGTGGGCCTGGTAAATCAACACCTCTTTGGTGGATTCCCCCTTGGGGTACTACTGCATGGCCCTGAAGAAGATGGTTTCAGCGTGAGGCCCATGCACCCCCTTTTCAAAAACTTCGGGGCGTAGATCTCAACGCTCAGCAAATCGTCCATGCAAAAAAGAAAGCAGCCAATACCTCTGACTATTCAAACTGTTTCCATTGCGTATCAGTAACTTCAGACCTGCGACTAGATAAATCTCAGGTCCTCAACCGTTGAAGTCTGACCACAACCTTTTACTGTACTGCAAACACTGGCTGCATATCTCTTTGCATGGAAAACTGCCAAGAAACTTCGGCAGTTCTGCATTAAACAAACGATCAAACAGTTGGCCAAACTGCCAAGCTGTTCTCACATCCATGACGAATTCAATATCTCGTCCTTCTGCGTTTCTTGTTGCCTGGGTCAAATCTCCGCCAATCGCATTTTGTACGGTCATGGCAGCCCAATACGAAAATAGATCTCTGGCGCAAATCATATCAGTATAGGAACTACCTGGACTTAATTTCGAACCCCCTGGCACCATGAGATTCCAATGAGGTAATCACATGTTCATGTTGACAAAGGATGTCAAGTCGCCATTCCACAGTGATCTGGATGTTGGTCTCAATCCACCAAAAAACAAAAAGTGGCCATCATATTCTCAAGTACTCGCATGGCATGCGGGACATGTGCGACCTGCTGGTTTTTGGGGCCCGGGGTCAGTGCAAAACCAACGAACTGATGCTGACATTCCGTACACGCGACACCATCTGTGGGGAACAAAAAAATCAACCGCCCAACTTCTGCACTGACATTAATTTTGCCCGAGAAACTCCACCACGACATTGTTCGTCTCAGCTTCTTGTTGGATGTCCTTGATTTCAATGTCCTTCTTGGGCGCCAGCTCGGTTTCCCCCTTGCTGCTTCTCAGCGATTGCGGCTTCCTTTTCAGCATTGGGTCAAAGGAGGCCGAAGCAATTCGCCTCAGGTGTCTGCAACCCATCAACCGTCATCAACCCAGCCTGACGCCTCAGTATGCCCATCGGCTTTCTAAGCCGATTTCTGAAGTCAATACGGAACAAAAAAGGATATCATCTCTGCTAGGGTCAAAACATGGGATGAAGCGCTTGTGGTCATCCCATGCGTAGGAATACTCACATGATGGGTATAAAAGTCTATATTAACGGATTGATGACCATCCCCTACTTGCCTATTTGCAATGTACCCTAAAGTTTTTACCATGGCACATCTGGTTATCAAACATGGCAATGGAAAACTCCCCATGTATAGATGATTGTCCCAATAAAACCCCTACTTAAAAGGGGTAACCAAACAATATGTGCTAAATACTTTTCGGAAAAGGAATCTTGGCACAAAACTGTTCTCCGCCCGTACGAAATCCTCCCGAGAGTCCTCTAGAGGATTCCTACCTGCTTTCTTGCCAAGTGTTTTCCTGAGGTTAATTTCTATGATCAGGGTTTGTCTGAAATTAGAATACCCCAAAATCATGGTTTATGATAATTTTCTCCAGAAAAAGGGCCATAACTCGGGGGTGTACGGCATCCACCCCCATGTTCGGACCGACCCAAATCACAGGCAATTGCTGGTTGTATCCCTATGACGTCCCCAGTTATAGTTATAAACATCGTGCCATTTTAGGACTGAATCCTGGCTCACTTTGCACTCTGCACCCGAGCTGCTTGTTGAACTTGAAGGAATACCCATGCTCAGCAGGCGGCGCAACCTGAAAAGGTGTCAAGACATGTGGGCCGCCTCTGAGAAACATCCAAGTCACCATGGGTTTCAATACTAAAAGTGATCTAATTTGGCTGATTTGGGGGTACTCCCGTTTTAGCAACCTCCAAATGGCTTTACACCCTTCAAAGAAAAGGTCCTTAGAGTGGAAAAGCGAACGGATCCGGAACTGTTTGATTTGGCCCACTTTCGCTGAGACTTGCATATAGGCAGATAGCTCATGTTTCACCATCCATGAACTGAGTTCGAAAGTTTTTCAAAAACGACACTGTCGCTGATTCTGACGAACCTGGTTGGGTCGTTTCGCTTGACAGGTGCTGCCCATCAAAGCCGGGTGAAATTCTTAGCCCACCCTACTCGTTGCCTCAGTCGCCAATAATGTGATGCAAGTGGTGACTTTTTTGATGTCGAAAGTCGCCAAGCCATTCAGCCTCAATTGTCGGAAGACCCACAGACATTCTTATCTCCGCGTTAGGTTCACAACCCATGTAGATATGTCCATCCATGTCCGAGATTCTACGTCTCAATCTGGATCCGTGTCTGTGCCATCTCAGAAGTGACTCGTATTTTCTTGGAACAGAAGCAATGTGCGCCTTCCCAGTGATCTCCTTATCAATCCAGATCCGCTTCAACTGGAAACCCAGCCCATGGCACATCAACAGCCCAGATCGCCAAAGGGCTTCTGGGACACATCTGCCACCTCCATCCTCTCGAGTTCCTTCACCATCTCCTGCCGTGTCCAACTTCGACTAACCAACCGATCATAGCGACTTGCGTTGGTCATCAATCGATTATCTAGATTCGCTTCGGGTGAGAACAGATTGCTCCATTCAATTCATACTAACATATTTATGCTAGCGGATCCTTTACCGGCCCACAAAACTGGGGTGGGGTGAGGTGGGGTGGGGCAATAACGTTCACTTACTTGCGCACTTCTATGATGTGAGGCCACGGCACGTTCACTTGCACTTGCGCACATACGTCATGCTACGTTGAAGATGTCTTACGTCACGCATGGGGTGGGGTGGGGTGGGGTGAAGCAATAACGTTCACTTACTTGCGCACTTCTATGATGTGAGGCCACGGCCGAAACTGGACAAACCCTGGCGACGTTCTGAAAAACGAAAAAGTCGTGTCAGTATCCGACTCGTTTTAAGACACAGAGCCCTGTAAGGGTTCACAAAACATATTTTCTTGAAAAAAATAAGAGACTATTTGGCCTCAAGAAATTGACACGCTACTGTGGCGACAGAAAGATTTTATCATAATCGTGGGACGGTGAAAGATCCGGCGCGGTATTTATGACGTACCAATCTGGGCACACACACACACACTTGTGGATGTCGTTCAAATTTCCTGGTGACAACTTTCAGAACATTAGGTTGCCATTGTTAAATTCGCAAGGGCACTCGATCACCAGTTTGTAGAATTGAAGTAGTGGGAGTACTGGGAGTGGTGGGAGTAGTGGGAGCAGTGGAGGCAATGGGAATAGTGCGAGCGGGAGTGGGGGTTGGAATGGGTGTGGGTGTGGTGGGGTGCGGTGGGGCGTGGTGGGTTGTGGGTTAGTACAAAAACGGCGCGAGTGTTGTGGAGGCTCCAAAACTTGCATCAGCCAATTATTGGTAGGGGTAGGGATAATAAATTGGCGACACGTTTCTGCAATGAATACATCGCATTCACCTAAAGCTAACAATGCAATTAAAGGAACTCCAAGCTTGCCCCCAGCCACTTCGCTGCCACAGGCCCAAATCCAATCCAATTTGGTTGTCTTGCAGTTCGGTGAAAATACTACTTTCATCTCCTTTCAGACTATGTGTAAGAACAGGTATCGGTAAGTGGGTGATCTACTATCGGTTTTGCCAGTTGCAACGCGATTTGACTATCCGACATCCACCGTTGCTACTTTGGTCTTCAGCCATTTTTGTCAGTTACTCATATACATCCGTTTTTTTGATTCTACCGGCATGTGCGACTTCTTTGGCTCATCGTCATCCCTGACGGTTTCCACCGAGCACAGAAGATGACACGTCCTGGACTTTCTTCGCCAGGCCCTCGGAAGTCGGAGTACTGCCCAAGTTGAAAAACTTGAGCTCCTGTGCCGTAGTTCAAAATGGAGACATCGCCCGAAGCCACACAAGGTCACAAGGCCCACTGAATTGTGAGTCAACCACTGACATCCACTGATCCGAAATTGAAAACGCCAAAGGCACTTTTCATGGAAAAAATATCGCCACGTGCGCTCAGCTAGATCACCTTCTAAGTTGAGTTATCATACTTCCGAGTTGTGGACAAATGTCTATAGTTAGCCTTCACACCATCATGTCAACAACATCATCACGCAAGAGGTGAAACAGTTCAGCAATTCGGGGGGGAAACCATGGAAGCGTGCGAATCTTTGCATTTTTACCGGGGCAGTGACTCCTGGGTTCGCGAAGGTCGAGTGTTTCCGTGGTTTTCGGGATTTGAAAAAGCTGTTGACAAAAAGCGCATGAGGCTGCAGCGAGAGCTCGCTGTCCACAATTCAAGTGTTAAACAACTGCGTGCTCCGACCACTTTTGGTCGGAAAAATGCACACTATAGACTGTAGTAGCGAGAGCTTGATTTCACGAAAAAATGCAAAAAAAAAACTCCGGCATTCGAACCAGCCGGATTTGGAAGATGGAGGAGACAGGCCTGATAAGTCTTGGGTGGAGACTATCCCGAGCCCAGGCGACTATGAGAAGAAAAAGAGGAAGAGAAAGAAAAAGAAGTCCAAACGGGGACAACCACAAGAGCAGGAGGAAGAAGACTCCACGATGGAGAAGCCAGAGACTCGGGGCACCGAACCCAACATCTGGTTTGAGGGGCGATCATCACCAAGCTATGAAGGCCGGGCAGGCAGGCAGCTCGCAAGCAGTATACTGTGGAGGGCTCGGAGAAGCCCGAAGAAGAATCTGAGGTAGCTGCTAACCATGAGAAATGGCCAAGCTGGGAAGGGATCCCAGAGGAAGAGTCAGACGAAGAGGCTGGCCCAGGCCAGGCTTTGCCTCATGAGGAGCTGGAGCCAATGGATCGAGGTCGATCCGGTAGCACCGGGCGCAGTGCCAGAGCCAAGGTACCGTACCCACCGAAGGGGGTGTACAAACCACTGCGGCGCTGATGCCAAAGCTCAAAGCGACGCAGCCGAAGCCTAAGCCCGTGCCGAAGCCAGGCCTGTTGGTGGATGAAGCCTTAAGCTCGGCATCTACAACGCCGGGAACATTGCCCAACCCTATGGCGTCTGCTCCAGAGAGGCCGGAAGGCCCAGTCACATACTCGGTCAGAACGTTTGGCCAAATGGACCGTGAGTGTGGCTACGTCAACAGTCGAGGTGATCGAGTTCCACGGAGACGCATCAACCAAGATGGTGACCTAGAAGTTTACCGTCAGGATGGCTTGGTGGAGGTTTCCCGAAGGCCGGAGCTGACCAACAAGAGGATGAAGATGAAGAGCCGACAGATGACGATGAGGAAGAGCCGAAAGGTGACGATGAAGACGAGAAGGATGACCAACCTGGAGACGGAAATCCTCCTGGTGGTGGTGGTGCTGCTGCTGGTCGAGACCCTCCGGGTGATGGTGGTGGATCTTCAAGTCATCAAGGCCCTGCTGGAGGTGATTCCAACACTGCGCCAAAGGCTGCTCCGGCGACTTGCTATGCTGGTGGCAGTGGGCTGTTGGACCGAGCACAGCCTGTGCTGGCCGACCTTTGCCGCCGCGATGGGGATCTTCAACCGGAAGAAGAAGCACTGAACGAGGGTTGGAGTGAGGCTTCAAGCTTTTGAACCCGCGTAGTTTTTCCCAATGGTGACTTGTCATAGTGGCAAGGGGGGAGTGTGGATGATGAAAGGTCTCCATTACTCATTTTCACCGACGGCTGTACATGTGTGACATAGCAGTTGAAACTTGCAGCATGCATGGCTATACCAACGCTGCTCCACCTATGGCTCAAGAAAACCTATTGGCAGCTCAGAGCGCTGTTGACGTCCCTGTTCAAAACCCCAAACATTAATTCATTCATTCATTCAGTCAGTCAGTCAGTCAGTCAGTCATTCAGTCATTCAGTCATTCAGTCATTCAGTCATTCATTCACTCGTTCACTCTTTCACTCATTCACTCATTCACTCACTCATTCAGTCAGTCAGTCATTCATTCAGTCATTCCTTCCTTCCTTCCTTCATTCATTCATCCATCCATTCATCCATCCATCCATCCATTCATGCATTCATTCATTCATTCATTCATTTCATTCATTTCATTTCATTTCATTTCATTTCATTCATTCATTATTTCTTTCATTTCATTTCATTTCGCTTCGTTTCATTTCATTTCATTCGCTCATTCATCCATCCATCACCATCCATCCATCCATCCATCCATCCATTCATTCATTCATGTCATTTATTGCATTCATTTCATTCATTTTATTCACTTCATTCATTTCATTCATTTCATTCGTTCAATCATTCATTCATTCATTAATTTCATTCTTTCATTCATTCCTTCCTGCCTTCCTTCCTGCCTTCCTTCCTTCAGTCATTCATTCATGTAGTTAGTTCATTCATTCTTTCAGGCGTTCTTTCAAGCAATCAGCGCCACATTCATTCAGTCATTCGTTCATTCATTCTTTCATGTCATTTCATTAGCATGTCAACAACCCATTGCCCATTCGTTGATGCACCTCACAACCTCAAAATGTCATTACTTCTGCATCTCACAGGCATTACGCCATTGATTTCTTATAGCCATTTGTTTCTCGAAACTTCCGCCCGGCGGGGCTGCGCACTATCTGGTAGGGGATGCTTTGCTTGCAAGACTTAAACCAAGAATCAGAAGAAATAGGTGAAGAACTAACACGGCCCACTCAAAGATGCTTGGTAACGTCGCTTTTGAGCACTGTGCTTGCCTATCTGGCAAACTGTAAAGCTGCCAAGAAGAAGGTGATTGTAAGACGTTTGGCTGCAGGTCAAGTCGTCTGCAGGTCAAGTTGTCTGCCATTTAGGTTCAAGAAAATGGGATTGGAGGGGACGTTATATGGGAAAAGTCATTCGAATACAACCACAAGTCCGACCTTCTTACCACCCATCGCACTGCGGTAGAAGAGTGCACTCGCAGTCATAACGATCATGATGCCAATGGCTACAGCAATGCCGCTCAGCATAGCGGTCGAGACCGCACTGGCAAAGCCATACATAGTCTCATCCTCAGACGCTCAAGCAAGCATCGTGAGAATCAAGCTTGATGGCAGACAGCAATGCTTGAAAAATGGCTCTACTAACTACTAACCCCAAAGATCCACTTGCTGCGCCAAGTTCAAGCTTGAGTGAATGCTGAAACTATAAATTGATTTGAAATCAGGTTTGCGATTTACTATCGGGCCGCGAATCATGCTACCTGCCGTGCGAGAAAGTTTCAATCTTGTTGAGGTAGAGCGCAGAGCAGGTCACGAGCAACACGATGCAGAAGGAGAGGATGCAGTCGGTCGCATTCAGCATTGGCACCTGCAAGGTTTCGGGACTGAAGCGGCTTTTGGCTTGGGGCCCGCGCTTTTTGTGGCGCGCGATCCGATCGGGTTGTGAAAAAAGGCAGACTTTTGTTGACAAGTTCGACACTTTGGTATATAATCCCTACTTTTGTATGGTTGCCTAACCGACTTGTTAGTGGAACCGCACCAAAGGATGGGTCTCTAGGAGGGGCCGGGCCACAATTGCTCACGCTGGCAGCAACCTGCACTTCATCGAAAAAAATCCGACCGAGGGTTGCGAGCATTGCAACACATGCATGTTTTTTTTCCGACTGGCATGGCTAACTCATTGAAAAACCTTGCAGGGAACAGTACTGGAACCCCTATGCCACAACATCGAAAACTCAAAAGCAAAACGGCAAAGAGACTCATTGCGTTGCATCTTTCTCACCGACCGCTCGAATTAACACACATGAATCAGCTCCCAAGCGCGCTCTTTTCTTAGGACCCTTTCTGTCGACATTTGGCCATAGCCACTAGCCACCTGAAATTGGGTACTTGTAAGGAGCCACAAAAAGCTGACCATTTTCAGGATCTTAAAACATCCAGTTCTGGGACTAGCTTTGGGCCATGCCATTTGAGCGCCAGCATGAGCCCAGGGTGCCTTCCATGGCCAAGCCAACATCTGCATCACCTCGGAAATATCCAATGGATTTCAGTGGCATGTCCTTTTTTGGGATGCATGTTCCTGTGCCTGTTACACTTGGGACACGCCAAAAAAAAAGAAAAAACCAAACACAGACTGCCACGCTGTCAACAAAACCCCGATGTCAATTTCATGTTGTTGGCTTACTTTTAACAATATAAAAGTCCCTGCGTTTGGTTCCACAAGCACCAGCGAACAGAGTAAATTGAGTAAATGATCATCCAAAAAGTGACGCAGGGAACAAGGGGAACAAGCAGGCACAGTTGTCTCAAATTAGAATTACCACAATAACTTTGAAAACTACAACATACTTCAAAACACATATCAATTTGAAATTGGGTTCAAACCACAACTAATTTCGAACTACAAGTAGCTTACAAACGCAGCTAACAGCAAATTACATTTTTGCAAATTAAGTCTAACTCGGGCACAAAAAACTTCAAACCAAGACCAACTTCAGGTCACAACTAAATTCAAAAGCATACTCACTTCACTAGTTTTGCAAACACCATCAATCAACTTCAAATTACATCTCACTTGCATTAGCCATGAAAACCTCCAAAACCCACAACCGTCCAGCTCCAACTAACCGCAACAAAGTAACTTCAACTGACAAGTTGGTTGACATCACGTTCAGTTCCGCTTCGGATTTCACTTGCAACGACCACGACCAGAACCATCAAACAGAATTGTCACAACAACAACAACAACAACAACTACTACTACTACTACAGCTACTGCTACTGCTACTGCTACTGCTACTGCTGCTGCTACTGCTACTGCTGCTGCTGCTGCTACTACTACTACTACGACGACGACTACGACTACGACTACGACTCTGACTACGACCACTACTACGACCACTACTACGACCACTACTATGACCACTACTACGACCACTACTACGACCACTACTACGACGACGAGGACGACGACGACGACTACTACTACTACTACCACCACGACTACTACGACTACGACGACGACGACGACGACGACGAAGACGACGACGACAAAGACGACGACGACTACTACTACTACTACTACTTCTTGGACGTCTGCTTCTACTTCTACTTCTACTTCCACTAGCTAGCTAGCTGGCTAGCTAGTAAACGGACGAACGAACGATCGAACTAACCGCCCAACCAACCAACCAACCGACCGACCGACCGACCGACCGAACCAAGCAACAAACCAACGATTGAATTAACTAATTAACTAACAAACTTACCAGTTAACTAACTATCGAACTAAATAACTATCTAGCCAACTAACTAAGTAACTATCTAACTAACCAACCAACCAACCAACTAACTAACTAACCAACCAACCAACCAACAGACTAACTAACTACTTGGAAAGCGGCGGATAGAACGCCGCCTGTTTTTCCAACTGTTGCGAGTTCACTTTCCCTGTGTTTTCTCAGGGTTTTTTGCTTTCGTCCATTTTTTGGACCCTTTCAAATCCTGCGAAAAACTACTTCGTTTTTGCAATGTTTTATGTATGTGGAAGTGTTCATTTCTTTTTATCACAAGCTTGGCAGGACGTGGGTTTAATTTTGACACACTTCGATAGGACTGGCGCCAGGTGCCGAAATTCTGTACAACCATTGTTTGATCAAAGTATCGATTTCAGGGTGCAGCTTGGAACCAAAGGTTCCCTTGAGTTTTCGAGGGAAAGTTTTTCCAATGAATTCCTTTAAACTTCTCCAGTGGCGATCAATGCATTGAGTTCCTGCGACCTGCGACGAGTGCTTGGGAATGGTGCGCAAGAGCTTGGCGTAGACCTTGTCCTGGTGGACAACTTGACGAGCGTAACATCAAGAGCGTGTCGGAAGTTCCTAGAGAAAAGTGCAGAGCGTCACAGCAAGAGCATGTCAAAAGTTCCTAGAGAAAAGTGCAAGGCGTAACATCAAGAGCGTCTTAGAAATGAGCATGTTCCACGCACTCGGAAGAGGACGTTAATACCCCACCCCACCCCACCCCAGGGAACAGTGCACAGCGTAACATCAAGAGCGTCTTAGAAAGGAGCATGTTCCACGCACTCGGAACAGGACGTTAATACCCCACCCCACCCCACCCCAGGGAACAGTGCACAGCGTAACATCAAGAGCGTCTTAGAAAGGAGCATGTTCCACGCACTCGGAACAGGACGTTAATACCCCACACCCCACCCCAACCCATCAAAACAGCAAGAAAGCGTGACAAAAAGTAGAGGAGAAACAGAAAAACGCAGAAAAGCAGGCGGCGTTCTATCCGCCGCCTACCAACTACTTAGCTCGCTTGCAAGGTAGCTACCTAGCTACCTAGCTACCTAGCTACCTACGTACCTACCCATCTAACTACTTAAATACCTAAGCAACTAAACTAACTAGCTAGCTAGCTAGCTAACTAACAAACTAACTAGCTAGCTAGCTAGCTAACAAACTAACCAAACTAAACTAACCAAAACTAAATTAAAGTAATTTACTTACATGCATGCTAACTTACTTACTAATACTAACTACTACTAACTACTACTAACTACTACTAACTACTACTAACTACCACTGACTACTACAAACTACTACTAACTACTACTAACTACCACTGACTACTACAAACTACTACTAACTACTACTAACTACTGCAAACTACTACGAACTACTAACTACTGCTAACTACTGCTAACTACTACTAGCTACTAGGAACTACGAATAACTACGACTTACTTTACGACTAACTACGACTACCTACGACTGACTACCAATAACTACAACTAACTACGACTAACTACTACTGACTACGGCTAACACCGACTAACTACAACTAGTTACAACTAACTACGACAAATATGACTACCTGCGACTAACTACGACTAACTATACGACTAACTACGACTAACTACGACTAACTACGACTAACTACAACTAACTACGACTAACTACGACTAACTACGACTAACTACGACTAACTATACGACTATATAACTAGAACTAACTACGACTAGCTACGACTAGCTACGACTAACTCCTACTAACTCCTACTAACTGCTAGTACCTGCTACTGGCTACTGCTAGCTACTACTAGCTACTACCAGCTACTAGTAGCCACTAGTAGCTACTACCAAATACTACTAACCACTACTAACTACTACTAAGTAAAAGGTTCGTGTCATCTTTGAAGCACTTTGATCAGTTGCCAAGTAGCAAAATCCTCACGCTGGCCACGCAAAGTGGCAATGAAGGATAAAATTGGCATAATACTGTCTGTGCATGGCATCTTTTGCGGTCACAAAAACGACTTCTCTTTTGACTGTTGAATGTGTTTTTTGTTTGGGGACGGGCATGCTGATTTTCCATCCTATATATGTTCATCATGTTTCACTGATACCAATAAGGAGAAAGCGTTGCAAAGTCCCATCAGTATGTCAGAACATCACATGATGAACACATAACAAAGCCCCATCATGATGCATAACATCATGAACGCGTTACAAGTCCCATGATTACGTCAAGAGAACGTCCAGTAGCGTAGCGTGACGTGTGCATGCGTGGTACTGCAAGAGACCGTCCAGTAGCGTAGCATGACGTCTGTGTGCACATGCAAGAAAACTTTTCCACTTTAGCATGACGTGTGTGTGTGTGTTTGCGCGTGTGCAAATCCAATTGATTCTATTCCCCACCACAACCCCCAGCTAAAAAGGACACCAAAAAAAAAGAAAACCAAGAAAAAGTGCATGTCGTTGAGTCGAGACGCACAAAAGCTAAATTTTAAAAAAAAAAAAAAACTCACAATGTGACGCCAAACACCTAAAACTAAAACAACAAAAACATTGTTTCATTACGCGGCCTTCAACGCTCGCCCAGCCAGCTACTACTAAATACGACTAAATACTACTAACTACGACTAACTACGATTAAATACGACTAACTACGATTAACTACGACTAAATACGACTAAGTACGACTGACTACAGCTAACTACTACTAACTACTACTACCTAGGACTAACTACGACTAACTCAGACTAACTACGAATAACTACGACTACCACGACGACTACCACTACGACTAGCGTGGTGTGTGTCATAAACATGAGATAAATCTGATGGAGGCATGTCTGATTTAGATTGTTGTGAGTGTGATAGGTTTGATAGAGACAAGTCTGACAAGTGTAAGCTTTTTCTGGGGAAGGGAAGAGGAAAGCACGGGAGGCGGTGGGCAGCAGGATGCAAGACCAACAGGAACCCCACACTAAACTAAGATGGGAAATAAAAATCAACCGAAGGACCATCATTGTGGTCAGAATCATCGCAATACACACCACCTGGATTGGTGGAAAGTCTGTTGCCAGCACCACCGGCAAATTGATCAATGGCCCGCGAATCAGCAGCGGCACTCCAAACCACCATGAATCGAGCCTGCAGCGGACTTTGGCTCAACCGAACACGAGTTTCAGGCAGAAACTAGCCATGGCGGCGGGGTGGCGGCCGAGCCTGAAGCGGAAAACCAAGAAGCGCACAGCTGCCACGAGATGGTTCTTACGCGTCACACTCCATCTCGGGACCTTGGTAGCAATTTGTGCGCTCTGAGCTGCGAACATTCTGTTTGAATACAAACATGATTTGGCAACCAACACTTGAAAAACGCAAACATTGGACCAATCATTCGCTACATCCGCAAAAGGTCAATCAGTCATTAAATACGTATATATATATATATATACATATATATATATATATGGGTAGCCGACCCAACCGTTTACAAACCACACCCTTGCAATTTCACCCGCTCACTGAGCACGCCGTTAGTCCGTCACTCGTTTAGTACTTAAACCACCAGCTACGTCTGCTGAACCAACAAGGTTCACCCAAGCATTCGCACGATTGCATCCACACATTTGCTCACACCAGCATGCCAACACTCTTTCTGTAAACTCCTTCCGCTTTGACTGGCGCTTTGAATCAAAGACGTTTGACAATATCCTAGTTTCCTCTGTTGAAGGCAATCTGACTGCATATTTTATGATATTTGCAGCCACGCGGCCATCAAGACTGAGACGACGCACAGCACCACAAAGCCGAAGACAAAGACGATGAGCAAAATCCATGCGATGGCCAACATAGCATCATGCTCGGAAGAGCCACAGATGACGCCCGGATACTTGAGGATGCTTCGAAGGCCATTTGGATGCTTGTAGCACATCATTGGAGACAAAGCCGTAGCACTCATCGTGCTAAAGCCCACCTGAAGGAATGCCCCCATTGTGCTGCACACCTTGGGCCCTTCCCAATGATATTTCTTTGGGAAGAGTTTCGACACAGCATAGCAAAGCGCCATCCAGGCCACACCAACTGGGAAGATCAATGCACTGAGCAGGTAGCGGATGGGTTCTGACTGGCCTCTGCAGCGCTTATCACGCCCCAAGCTGAAGAGAAAATCTCAACCCACCAAAAAGTCACTAGGCGACAGCGTGGCCCAAAAGAAAGCCGGAGGGAGCAGATCAAAAGAGGATGGAAAGGAAGATATGATGGTGACAACTGATGAATGACGGTGACGGATGAATGATGAATGAAGCTGATTGATGATGCGGAGTCTAAACAGCAAAACTCTTACACGCCAACTTTTTACACACGGACGCCTTTACACACATAAGTTTTTACACTGAAAACCTTTTAACAGAAAAGCTTTCACACAGAGCTGCCTTTACACAGAAGCTTTACATTCAGACGCTTGTGCACAGAGCAGTTTTTGCGCAAAAAAGAATCCCACACACAAACTTTTAACACACTGAGGACAGACAAGTTTTTCACACGCAAGCTTTTACACACAGAAGGTTTTACACACAGAAGTTCTGCTCACAAACCCTTACATACAGAGGCCTTTACACAGAGCAGTTTTTGTAAAGAAAAGATCTTACACACAAACTTTTTACACACAGAAGCTTCTACACACAAACGCTTTTACCCACAAAGCAGTTTACACTGAAAAGCTTTCACCAAAAAATGCTTTTCACACACGGAAGCTTTTACACGCAGAAGTTTTTGCGCAAACGCCTTTAGACACAGAAGTTTTTACACTTGGACGCTTATCCACAGAGCAGCTTTTTACAAGAAGCATTTACACAGAAACGCTTTCACACAGAAGCCTTTACAGTAAGATGCTTTACACATAGACACTTCTGCACACAAACCCTTTTAAGAAGCCTTTACACAAAGTTTGCTTTGCACAGAAGCTTTTACACACAAAAGCTTTTACACGCACACACACACACAGACAGAGGCTTTCACACAGAAGCTTTTGCACAGAGAAACTTTTACACACAGAAGCTTTTACACAGAGAAGCCTCTCCACAGAGCAGCTTTTACACACAGACGCCTTTAGCCACAAAAGTGTTTACACGGAATAGCTTTCACACAGAAAAGTTTTTTCACCTACAGAAACTTCTACACACACAAGCCTTGACGGAAAGATGCTCTTACAAGCAGAAGCTTTTTCGCAGGGAAACTTTTGCACACAAAAGTTTTTTCACAGGAAAGTTTTCTTTGCACAGAGGAGTTTTTACACACAGAAGCTTGTACACACAGAAGCTTTTACACACAGAAGCTTTTACACGGGGAAGCGTTTAGACACAGAGGCTATTACACAGAGAAGCCGTTCCACAGGGCAGCCCAGCTTGGACACGCTTCAAAATCTCACGTTCGCAGCATTTTTAGACGTTCGACCATCAGTTCCTGCGAAAATGAGGTTGGAAAATCGCAAAATTTTACACCAGTTTTTGACGTTATCTCAGTTTCTGACATGCAGCCTTGATTTCGTTCCCAAGGGCGGCGCTAAGGGCCGAGGACCACCAAATTCGCATTTTTTACAACACGTTTGGCTTCCGACATCCAGGATTTGCATGTCGCAACAGGTTTGGACACGCACGATCTCAGAGGGTCATGTTTCGATGGACACGGCCTGGCGGCCCCGCCACAACTCCTGTGTAACAATCTCTGCGCACATGACATTGTAGGAGCTTTGTAAGAGATCAAATAGAAGTGGATCACCTGCGAGTCAACTCCTGTGTAAATGACATTGTACGAGTCTTGTAGGAGTTACCTAGAAGTTGGGCACCTGCGGATGATGTAGATGATGTAGGTGATGTAGGTAACGTAGGTAACGTAGGTGATGTAGGTGATGTAGGTGATGTAAACGATGTGGATGATGTACATGTTGTCGATCGTCGATGTTTTAGGTGATGTGGATGAGGTTGTAAGTGATATAGTGTGTGTGTGTTGTAGATGATGTATGTGTTGTAGATAATGTTGATGGAGAAGTTTGTGTGGATGATGTAGGTGATGTAGCTGAAGTTGATCTAGAGAATATGGTGTAGAAGATCTAGGTGATGTAAAGGATGTAGGGGATGTGGATAATTATGTATGTATGTAGATGAAGTAAAAAGTTGAACTTGGCACCAGTTATTTGGAAAAAACTCTTCGCAGGAGCTGCAGAAGCTTTCAGCAATTGAAAAATCACAGAAAACCCATGAAAACCACCCCTTTTACACGAACCTGCAATGCATGAGAAGCCATACGAATCAATGTCGAGCAGGAGGAACTGGCAAATGCTGAAGAGTCCCTGAAGGTTTAGTGGCCATGGCACGGTCATCATACCAATGAGACCCAAGTTTTGCATGGCCATCACCAGCATGCCAAAGGAAGCCGTTGTCGCAAACAGCACAGTGGCTTTTGCAGTGACCTGCCAAAATCATCCAAAATCGCCATTTGGCTCAAATTCCTTCCCGCCCGTTTCAGCAAGAAGTCGCAAGAAGTCGAGTGGAAGACCCTGATGTTTGTTCAGAAACCCGCCTTGGAGGTAGTGAGATAGTAAGCCACAACCAAGAAAGCGAAGATCCCGGCAACTGCCAGGGCCTCATTGAACTCGGAACACAGATATATCCATCGGATTGGGCATCAATTCAATCGGTAATGCAAAAGTTTCTTAGTAGTAAACAGCACAATTCCACAATTCCACAATTCCACAATTCCCTAATCTTACCGCTTTAGGAATATCAAAGAGAAGAAGCCAAAAAAGACAAGAACTGCACTTGGCCGGTGGTCCTACAGAGATCCCCTGGTGTTTATTCGGCTTATTCCACCATGGTGCCCGGCGCTGTGCTTTTTTCAATCTTGTGCGAAAGGGAAAAAATGGCCTTCCTGAAGTTGCTGACATCAACTGTTTCGTTCAATGGCAAAACAAATACTGAATGATTCAATAGCTGATCTCGCCACTATTACATGAATGAGTGGCCACAAGGCTCAAACTCAAGGACCAGTTCACTCAGTCTCCTCTTCTCTCAGCTATCTCTCCTCAGTCAACTCTTCCATGGGCTACCTGTTACCTGGTTACCTTCTCTCCCCAACTCCTGCGCTACCTAAAAACTCTGAGACACTTCTGCGAGCTGGTTCTTCCCCAGGGCTATCCCTTGGAGCCACTTATCTGAAGAATTCTCAGTCTCTCCTCTGAGGCAACCCTTCTCGAGCCTCTCTGAGCTGCGTCTACCTAATCTTTGAACTACTTCTCTGAAACAACTTTTCTGCGAGCCGTTTCTTCCCTGAGCTACCATCTGTAGGCCAAAACTGCTTTGCGCGGCACTTAGAATGCGTTTAGCAACCTGCAATTTCACTCCTGGATCTTGCTTGAGCCGCTCCATATCGGCAACAATCCTGCCATCACAAGGCGTCTAGCAACCTCCAATTACATTCCGCCGCAAATCTCGTGCAGTGTTTTTCGGCCTGATCTTCCAAGAGGGCTCCAACAATCCATTTTCGCACATATTTTTCCCGGGGGCTTGCCACAACACCGGCGAAAATACCATGTTTTGCGCAATTACTTCCTGGTGGGAAATGCTGGGGAGAATCGCCCGATAACCACATCGATGGACCCGGGCCAGACGTGTCAACCCAGTCCAGGTTCCAGGGTCCTAGCATTGCATTCCGGTTTTGATGCGATTCTCTCGTCCCAGACGAGATTGAAACCCAAAAAGCACTGCTGTTGGGATTCTCTACAAACGTGAGACAATTCACACGTATACACATGCCTTGTGCATTTTGGAGAAGACTTATTCAGCTAGCTGTTCACCCCGACGGCAACGATGGACAGGAATCCTCTTTGTAGTAGCCGCAGCCTCTTTCCACGTTCAAACTGTGGGCTGATTAATTTGTGTCTTGAACTGCTTGGATATCCCACAAACACGCGGTAAAGAAAGGCCCAATCGCATCAACTGCGAAGCGGATTTCTGTGTTCTGCATCAATCGGTTCAAGTGTATGCATTGCTGCGCGGTCAGAATTCTGCGAGAACACAAAATGAACAAAGTACAACATTTGCGCTGGGACTTGTTGGTTTTGCCAAATACTTACAATGTTCACTGTACACAGGGTACAACACACATGTGTATCGCAATGCAGCTATCATTCATTCACGCGTGTACGGATATCCACCTGGATGTGCATCCCAGTAACAGTAATTAAGTGGATAATAACCATGGGAAGCCAAGTCAGGTACGGAACATGTCCGGGTTAGAAACCACTTCCCAACATCTGTATTCACATCCAAGCATACTACAGTACACTCCCCACCATCAGCTAATTGAGACATACTGAGAGCAAGCTTCCCATAGAGCTTGGCGCCATCCTGCACAATCTTCGCACTCACTTCCCGTCCACGTTGCACCTGCCATAATCATGTCCAGCTTTGACAGCGAATATTTGACCACCCTGGACGGATGTAGAGATCGAACAATGATCTTCACTATGCAAATGGAAGAAAAAAAACAACACCCGCACCGCCACCCTACTTACAGCACTTGCCCAACGTGGAACCCAGAACAAGGGTGGAGAGCCTTCAGGGCATTGCGAGCAAGGAGTATCGGCGAGGCCACCAGCACATGAACCAGGAGGGCCACCAGGACAAGATGTTGCGCTGGTGCAAAGGAACACCTGCCAAAGTCTCTGAAACAATTTTGCATTTCCAACTCTGCAAACATGCAATGTTCCTGGCACATTCTTACATGTTGGTATGGGTTTGTCTGGTCTGCTTTAGAGTCGGGCACCCACTAGCCTCCAGATCTTTAGCGTAGTCTGAGGTGGCAGAACAGGCTGCCCGTGCGTTATGTCTCATAATTCTGATACACAACGAGCCTCGGTCGGCGCGTCAATGGTGGAGTAATATCCCCCTTTGATCTGTGGAGCGAGCGCCGCTCCATTGCTGATGCTTCCACTCACCAAGTCAGCCTTAGTTTCCCAGGTCACCCAGGTTCTGCGCACCGTGGGGGATATCTGCACAATATCCCTTTAGGACCCCTTTATCTCTTGGGAGAGGACTGAATATATATATATATATATTATATATATATATTGTATATATATATTATATATATATATTATATATATATCAGATTGTAGAAGCGTGTTTACAAGATTCCTTTTTTGAAGATCTCATGTGCAATGTACAAGGCCTAGGCCTTGATACAAAATATTGAGAAAATCTGTGTGCTCCCCGACTCCCGACAGCCAAAAAGGTCTCTGTCGAAGAAAATCACAAAAAACTCTGACAAAAAAATCTTTGTTTAGGTCTCTTTGAAAGATCTCACATCTCTGTAGTCTTTGCAAGGTCGCTTTGAGCTCAACGCAAAGCTCTCGCACTAGGCTCAAAAACTGGAAAATTGAAAGGCCCCGCTGAGTGGGTCACAGCTCCATCTTTTTCGTACGCCACAAACCCCAGCCATGCCACCGCAGCTGCGCGAAAATTTAAGTTTGCAAACGTGGAAGTTTCAATCGCTTCTTCACATGCCTACAAGTAATACGCTTTTTGGCATTCATGCACTGCAGGCCCTCGAAAATAGGTTTGCCAAGATTTCACCCACCTGCGCGAAATTGTCAAGAGCGCCACTTCTCTGAAAAATGGGTGCAGTATCGCTGTGTGCAGGAAAGAAAGGCCTGCATGCGCACAGCGGCACAAGAACTTAGAGGCTAGTAACGGCTAGTATGCTCGTAAGAAACCCGAGCAACGAGGTCACACTCAGCCTGCGCTCAGAATTCATTTTCAGATTCCCAAAGGTCTGGGGGAATTGCCGACAGCGAGCCTGACCAAAGACACAAGCTGACAAGGACACAAGCTGGAAGTCAAACCCCGAGGAGACGTTGCAAGACACCTTGGACAACCTGGAAGCAAAACCGAAAGTCCCTCATTCAAAGCAAAATCCATTACAAACAGCAAGAACCGGATAATTGCTGGCACATTTTCCTTGGTTTTGTTTGCTTTGAGGAAGCTGATGCCTGCCCTGCCAAGCAGCCAGCTGAGATAGAGCTGGGCATGACATTCCTTCACTGCACTTAACGCACTCGAAGGCTCCTGGCGCAAGGTGAGGCACTGGCCCAAAACTCCCATCCCACTTTGCAGCGCCATGCGGCGGCCCTGCCTGAGCCGTCAATGTCAATGAAAGTTTCCGGGCAGCCACAATCGGTTTCTGCCACTGAACCTGACAAAGACATGAAAAGACCTCAATACTCAGGAATCTCCCAAAATAATTTGAAAAATGAGGTATAATCCTTGGAGGGCAAGGTTTCGGGACCCTGACCAGAAGGAGCACCAACAAGGATCGAACCCTCCAACCATCGCAGCCTAGCAGCCGAAGCCAAGGGTGCTCGTGGAATCCGGGCAAGCCGTGCAAGCTTCTTGGCCACTCAGGTCCTGTCGGGGCAGGGAGCGCATGGGGAATGTCACTCGCAAAAAATTTAACGCGCAGACATTGCTTGAAGTTGGAACCCGTCCCTCGTAATTGGGGTGGGGCGCAAGCTAACTTCTAAAATCTTTTAAGTATGGCATATAATCGTGTCATTCAACTGACAGCCACTTGTTTCTTGCTGACTTGCACTAATATCCATGCACCCAACGTACCATGCGGAAGTGCTAAGAAGCAACTCTAACTGGTTTTGGAACATTGAAAAATTCAATCAAGTCTTGATCAAGGTTAAAGCCCATCTTGTCACGACAACCTCCACAAGCCAAAGCAAAAAGTCATCTGCATATGGGGTGGCTCGAGCACTACATGTGACTGTTCTTTCCGAGGCTTCCGGTCCTGATAAGTGCCAAAGTCGCAGCGCTTGCACTCTGTGCTTTGAAGTTCATCTTGATATTCACCTGCGCTGAAAAACAGGATCGAAACAATGACAAACACCAAGAAAACTCTAAGGTTTGAGCTGTCTGAGCGAGAACTGGGGCGTTCAAAATACCCACGTCCGCTCAAAGCAACCACGCACTACAGTCCCTTGGCTGAATCTTGAACAATCCGCCAACCCATCACCAATGGGGAGCGCGTCAGAGGAAAACCAGACCGCGGTTTTTGCCTCACCATCAATGTTATTAGTTTCAAGATGGGGCCCGATGGCGACAACATGGCCTCAAGATGGCCCAACATGGTCCGAAGTTGGCTTCAGGAGAATCCCAACATGGCCAGTTTTATAGGCTTCAACCTCGGGCCTTAACTTCGGGCCAACATGGGCCCAACATGGCGCATCGTGGGCCCAAGAAGCTCTAGCACAGCGCATTGTCGCTTTCTTCGTGGCTTCTTCATGACTTTTTCATGGTTTCTTCATGGTTTGTTCATGGCCTCGTGTCAGCATGTCCTATTTTGGCTTGCAATTGCACTGCGTTAGAAAAACACTGTGTTTCACAGGGGTTTTAAAAAGGCCCTCCAACTTCTGAAAGGGCTTCACCCGCATTGCTTGCAACGATGCTCTTGCAAACATCCGCACATGATGCGCACTCCATGTCTGGCCCAACATGCCTGGTCTTAACTTTCAGCACCACGCTTCAACCCATGTACCTCTGTCTACATATATCTGCGTACCGATGAACATCATGGCCCAGCGAACAAACCCACTAGCCCGCCTCAAGATTATCCGCTGCCGCCGACGTGGCTTTCAACGCCCTGCCCGGACCCCGCCGTTGGAGTGCGAAACATAACCCGGCATCGCCCCAATGCATGCCCTTCCCTCATGCCGTGCATCCCACACCTCCCTCTCACACCCCCTTCCCCACCTTCCCCTTTCGTCGCATCCCTCCTTCCTCCCACCCTCCTAGACTCTCCCACCAAACCCTTTCATCTAAAAACCACTTCCCTCCTCCCTGCCTGCTGGCCGGCTGTCGGCCGTAAGCCCCTTGGGTGCACCTCCTCCCCATCTATTCAAAATCGTTTTTTGGGCCAAGATGGCGACAACACGGCCTCAAGATGGCCCAACATGGCCCCAAGATGGGCCTCACAAGCTTCAACCATGTTTTACAGCGTTGTTTGGCCGTTTTGGGCCTCACCTTCGGCCCAACATGGGCCAAAAATGGCCCATCGTGGCCCCATCCACAAGCTCATCTTGGCCTCAACGCGGCCTCAACATGTGCAAAGTTGGCATCAACTTCTGTCCTGGACTTTAAGATGGCCGCACATAGCAACATGGCCGAACTTTGCCAACACCTCGCCCTGACATGGCTTCATGGCCCCAACACGGCTTCACAGCTATCTGGCGACCCCGGCCCCCCGAATTTTACAGTGTTTTTGGGCCTTTCCGACAACATGGCCCCCGAGACGGCCCTAACTGAGGCCCCAACATCGCCCCAACATGGCCCATCCTGGCCTCAACCTGCTTCCAATATTACCACAACAACAACACCAACACCAACACCACCACCAGCAACAGCAACAACAGCAACACCGAAAACACCAAAAACACCAACACCAACAACACCAACAGCAGCAGCAGCAGCACCACCACCACCACCAACAACAGCAACAACCAACAACCAACAACCAACAACAACCAACCACCACCACCAACAACAACCACAACAACCACAACAACCACAACAACCACAACAACCACAACAACCACAACAACCACAACCACAACCACAACAACAACCAGCAACCAGCAACCAACAACCAACAACAAACAACAACAAGAACCAACAACAACAACAACAACAACAACTACTACTACTACTACAACTACAACTACAACTCCAACTACAACAACCACAACAACACGAACCAACAACAACAACAACAACAACAACAACAACAACAACCAACAACAACAACAACAACAACAACAACAACCAACAACAACAACAACCAACAACAACAACAACATCAACAACAACAACCGCAACAACCGCAACAACCAACAACACCAACAACAACAGCAACACCAACAACAACAACAACAACAACAACAACAACAACAACGACAACAACAACAACAACCACAACAACAACAACAACCAACAACAACAACAACAACACCAACAACAACAACCAACAACCAACAACCAACAACCAACAACCAACAACCAACAACCAACAACCAGCAACAACAACAACAACAGCAACAATAACCAACAACAACAACAACAACAAAAACAACCAACAACAACACCAACACCAACACCAGCAACAGCAACAACAGCAACACCGAAAACACCAAAAACACCAACACCAACAACACCAACACCAACAACACCAACAGCAGCAGCAGCACCACCACCACCAACAACAACAGCAACAACCAACAACCAACAACCAACAACAACCAACCACCACCAACAACAACAACCACAACAACCACAACAACCACAACAACCACAACCACAACCACAACCACAACAACAACCAGCAACCAGCAACCAACAAGCCCACAACAAACACAATAAGAACCAAACACAACAACCACAGCTACATCCACAACCACAACGCACACCACCACAAACAACAACAAACAACAACCAACAACAACACAACAACAAACAACAACAACAACAACAACCAACAACCACAACCACACCGCAACAACCAGACACCGCATGACACCAACAACCAACAACAACAACAAACCAACGATCAACACAATCAACAACAACACCCAAAACAAAACCACAACAACCAACAAAACAACAACAACATAATCAGACACAACAACAACAACCAAACCAAAACCTACCAACAAACTACCCAAAACTACCAACCAACACCAACACTACAACAACTACCACAACTACCAACAACTAACCAACAACTACCACACGACCAACAACGACCAACAACGACCAACAGCGACCAACAACGACCAACAACGACCAACAACAACCAACAACCAACCAACAATCAACCAACAACCAACAACTAACAACCACCCAACCAACCAACAAACAAACAAACAAACAAGCAGGCAAGCAAACAATCAAACAACAAACACCAAACAACAAACAACAAACAACACACAATCAAACAACAAACAACAAACAAAAAACAAACAACCGCAACAACAGCCACAACCAGCAACAACAACCAACCAACCGACCAACCAACCAAACAAACCAAACCAACCAAACCAAGCCAAGCCAAGCCCAACCAAACCAAACCAAACCAAAGCAAACCAAACCAAACCAACCAACCAACCCAACCAACCAACCAACAACAGCAGAGCAAGCAGGCGAGATTCTGGGTGTGCGAAGCCCTACAATACAATCGAAGCATCCTGCTGCATCGTGCTGCTTTATTTTGCCCCATGCCTTCATTCCTAAAAATTCTGCAGGTCTCCTAAATTTCCCCATGCCAACTACAGCAGAGCTGAGCAATCACACCTGCTTTGCATGGCGCACAGGACAGCGAAGCACCGGAGCTTTGGCTTGTTCCCTTGCCACAAGGCACACAGACGTAGGTTACTCCTTTGTTGTCTTCCAACTTTTGCGAGAACATTCCTGGTGGACAAGCCTCCCACAGGCGCTGCCGCATTACAAAGAAGAAAATCATCATCTGCAAGTTGCTTCTTGTGACAGGACTTCCCATATATAACCGTTTATCATGATGTTCAACATCGCTTGTCATGTTGTCAAGGCAGGGCTCTACTTCCACACAACCTGCCTGGCACACAATTTTGTTGGTTGCATTCACTCGCACGTCAGTGAAATCCTGCAGCAATGAGTCATATAGTCCGAACCCAGGAAAACATTCGCTTTCATCGGGCATCCACCTCTGCCACACCGCTCGGTTTGCCGTGATCCACCTGCATGTGACATCCCTCCATGTGTCTCCAGTGTTCTTCTGGTCCAACAGGATCGCATTCATCTGCTCCATGGTCACGTGCAAGTTGTCTGCGAAAGTCTGAACGAAGGGGGCCAGGACTACTAAGTCAGAGCTGACGATGGCATTCACTGGAACGTCCGAATTGGCAGTCGCCATTTTGCCTGCAGCATACTCTCTTTCGTTGCGCGTTGGAAAATCCATGAACAAAGGACTCCGTTCCAAGAAAGTAGGATCGGGCGCCCACCAATAGAACGTCACGTTGTGCAAGAGGGGGACCTGTGTGTAGGAACTCCATGATGCAGTCACTCCGATGGCGACCGGCATGTTGTGAAAAGTGAACTTCTGCATGGCATCTTCTGCTCCACAGCCACCACCAGCAGTGATGAACGCAACGCATTTCGACAAGTCGTTTCGGCATGCTGCAGAAGCCCACCAAAAGCCATCATCGCAACGGGCCGAATAGGTCTCCTGGCTGCGAGCGTAAATGTCATTTGGATTCGGAACCATTCAAGGTGGTGCCCCCCCAGTTGTAACTTGGTCTGCAATCACCACCAAGGATAGATAACCAACACACCCTCAAATTTGGAAGCGGACCGCGTGGAGAATGCAAAAGGCACATGCAATATCAAATGCTCACTTTGTCAGATAATTTAAAGTTGCTCAGCCCATGTACTCGCCAACTTGCAAGGACGCTCTCCCTCCCTCCCTCCCTTGCTCTCGCTCTCGCTCTCTCGCTCTCTCGCTCCCTCGCTCTCGCTCTCCCGCTCTCGCTCCCTCGCTCCCTCGCTCCCGCGCTCTCTCGCTCTCGCGCTCTCGCTCTCACGCTCTTGCGCTCTCTCGCTCTTGCCCTCTCTCGCTCTTGCGCTCTCTCCTTCTCGCACTCTCTCGCTCTCGCGCTCTCTCGCTCTCGCGCGCACGCACACGCACAGGCACACACACTTGCTTGCTCAGAACAGTCATTGCGAATTCTGATGTGGAATGTATCTTACGTGCAAAAACACTCCAACTAAACCTGACTGGAATTGGTTGATGACCAGAGGCGAGAAAACAGGGCGAAGGCAATCTTTCTACGTCCTTGCTAGAAGCAAGGTATCCATCTAAACCAGGTCGTTACCTCCTTTGAAAGATTGCGACAACAGTGCCGCGAAAAATGCAAAATGACGACATGGAGGTTCTTGGGTTGAGCCTCTTCCCATTACTGAAAAAGATTGAGCAGGTACGTGGATTGAGCGTCCTCAATTCATATCACTGTGCAACAGATGCGTCTTCGTTGGATGGAGACATCTGAAGCACACTCCATCCCCCTGCGTGAAATGAAATAATGCAAACAGAACCGACAAGATAAAATCGAAAGTAGAAGTTTTACATCTTTTCAGATGGTTCACACACACACCCTCCCGCGGGAGGGTGGGAAAATTAAGGTCCGGACAATGAGATGAAAATGAAATTGAAAGGAAATGAAGGTGAGTTGAAGATGAAATGAGATGAAAGTTACTTAACCAGGACGCGAAGAGGGGAACGCAAAAGAAGAGGGAAAGAGCAAACACCAACACAGGCAAACCTGGCCCAGAGCGGGCAAACCCTGAAAGGGCAAGGGAAAAGAAAAGCGGAGGCCGACGGACACAGAACAAGACCAGCGGAGGGGGGGGAGGACGGAAGCCAGCGAAACCTACGCCTCGGAGCTCTCCCCAAGCTCTATTTCCCACGGTGTCCCTTCCGTCCACCCTGTCGTCGCTTCCGTATCGCTCCTTCCCAACGGAGCTCTCCCCAAGCAATTTCCCACGGCTTCCCCTCCGTCCACCCGCTCGTCGCTTCCATCTGGCTCCTTCCCCACGGAGCTCTCCACAAGCATTTCCCACGGTTTCTTCTCCGTCCACCCAATCGTTGCTTCCATCCGTTCCCTCCCAACGGAGTTCCCCCAAGCTATTTCCCACGGTTTCCCCTCCGTCCACCCTCTCGTCACTTCCGTATCGGTCACTCGCAGCAAGTGTGACTAAACGAGAACCCAAGCATCGGAGATGCTTTTGGGAAAAAACACCCACGAGTCCAACGGAAGTTACAACATAGCATCCAGCGTGCCTTGGAAGTTCACCTGAAATGGATGTTACAACCTAGAATTCAGAGAGTCTTAGAAATCACGTGGAACAGATGTTGCAACGTAGCATCCACAGCATCTTGGAAGTTATTTCACATGGATGTTACAACGTAGCATGCAGAGCATCTTGGAAAATGCTTGACACAAATGTTACAAGATAGCATGCAAAGCATCTTGGAAGTTGCTTGAAATGGTTGTGGCACTGTAGCATGCAGAGAGTCTTGGAAGCCACATGAAACGGATGTTGCAACGTAGCATCCAGAGCGTCTTGGAAGTTGATTGAAATGGTCGTTGCAACATAGCATTCAGAACATCTTGGCAGTTACTTGTAACGGATGTTACAACATAGCATCTAAAACGCCTTGGAAGTTTCTGGAAATGGATGTTACAACATAGCATTCAGAGGGTCTTGGAAGTTGCTTGAAATGGTTGTTGCAACGTAGCATGCAGAACGTCTTGGAGCTTACTTGAAATGGATGTTGCAAAGTAACATACTGGAAATGGATGTTACGACGTGGCATCCAGAGCGTCTTGGAAGTTGCTTGGGACGTGCATGTTGGAGCTTGTTACTCCTCTGCCGTCTGAAAGCAGCAAGTGCCAAGGTGTTTGGCGCCTCGGATAATGCCCATCGTGCATCCTGTGGGCCTTGCGTGCCTACGCTTCGTCGGTTTTTTCGGTGTCTCGGCGCAGTTCTGTGTAGAATTGGCAGCCTTGTGTTCGGCTCTATACTACTGGCCCGACAAAAGAGAAGGACCTGGCTGGCTAGGATTTTCGCGAAGCCTTCGATGCGGGTGCGGATACCACCCTGTGTAGCAGGTACTCTGGACACAGGAGCAGGTAGCTGACTCGGCGCCTTCTGAACTCCTGCTGGCAAAAGCCCCTACGAAAAGTGCGCAAACGTTTACAGCAGCGGTGACATCAGTACTTGTACGGCCGAGTCCCGCTGCCCCCCTGCCACAGGCTCAACCATTCTCACAACCCACTTTCCCCCATTTCATGTGTTCTGTCCATACTCAGTCACGATCGCTCATGGCCCCCATTGCCCACCCACCCATTCCCCCGATTTGCTGCCACCCCCAATCATTTCCACCCCTTCGCTCTCCGTGCCCGTCAAAAAACGATGTTCGCTTCGCTTCCATGCGATAGCAGACTAAACGAGAACCCAAGCATGGAAGATGCTTTTGGCAAAAATGATGCGTGTCTTGCCCCGCACTACTTATCCATGTCCCCGATTTTGACTCTAACCAGTGTGAATTGCAGCTTCGTCGGCTTGTAACATTTAAGCGCTATTCATTGACTGCATCGGGCAAGCAAGCCTTAACTTGATCCATCAATGGACTCAACGGCTCACCCAAACGTCCAACCCAACCAACAAAACACCCCGTTGTTCCCTCTTCCTCCAAGTTTACCCCCGAAACTTCATTCAACCCCGACTCCCCGTGGGATCTGCTTTATGGCCAAGCGTCATTGTTGATGACAACCCCATCAATGTCACCGGTAAAATGGACATGACGCCGCATGACAGTGTCATCTGCCCGGATTCCACCAGATGCGCTGCAAGGGTCCAAATGGGACACGTCGATCGATGACAAGGAACTGAAGAAGTTGGAAGGCTGATTCCAAGATGCATTCCACTCACGGTAGAATTCCAATGCTTTGCCTTGCGTTGAGTAGGCGTGAATTTGGACTTGGCTGGGAATGAAGATTCCAGAAGGTCCTGTGTATCCCATACTTCCCAAATCCTTTGGCGCCATGGAAGTGTAGGTGTTCTGGATGATGGTCCAATCAGCCGGGTATCCCAACCACGTTTCCAAGCCAACATGGTAGTAGGTGACCTGGCATGACTTCGCTTCAGCATGGGTGCTGGATGTACTGCAAATTTATGTTTCTGTTTCGTGTCTTGTGTGATTGCACTGTGGAAAAATAACCATGTTTTTGATGGTCAGTGGTGCATCTTTGCAGATGCTTCAGCGTTTTTGTCTTGTTTTTGTTTCTTTCTTTCATTTCTTTGCGCTTTACAGAGCTGAAAAGAAATTACCTGTCAGAAACCACCATAGACCACAAACAGTTTGCTGTCAACCATAAACTGGCAAGCACATTGGGAAACATGTGTGTGTGTGTACACCCTTCTTCCACAGGGCATGGTGTTTGGTGTCATTTGTACAAACCACATGTGGTTTAGATTTGCAGGGGGGCCAGGCCTATCACATACGAAGCTGGGATGTGATGGGGGAAGCATCAAAAGACGCTTTGATTTGTAACTGCACATTCAGGTTGAAAACTGTTGAACAAGCTTTTCTACGTCCTTTCTTTCTGCAGCAGAGTTTTTGTTGTTTCCTCCTCTCGCCATTTTGACAGGGCCAGAGTGGTCCAGTGGTTTGGTGGTTTGTGTGCGGCAGTCAGGCCGCCTCTGGTGAATATGATGGGTTAACCAAGCCTTTTCTTGTGCCAAACCAAGCCAAAGATATCAGATTGGGACACTAAGCAAACCCATAGCATCCCCCATCATACTTGGGGATAAGGACGCGTACACGCTGATTCAACGAAAGATAATGAAAGCTTGAACCAGTTTTGCCTAGTGACGCCAGACATGCAGCCACGATCAGTAAGATCGTTGAATGTGCGGCAACCCGCAACTCCATAATATGAAGCGACGGCACCAGCAGCGACGTTGTCAAGATTTGCGGTCGTGTTATAGCCCAAGATCTCCTTCAACCAGCAGCAACACTTATCCCAGCAATTTTCTACTTGAAACCCTGGTGATGATTTTTCTGGGCCGTGAACAACAACTCTGTTGACTTCATACGCTCTAGGGGCTGACCGGGCTGACCTCAACCAACGTTGCCCCAAGAATGTTGGCCGCATAGGAGGCAGCCCAGTTGGCAATCATGAAACCCACAGGATAGGTCTCACCATTGGCGTTCACCTAGGGTGAACAGCAGCCAGAAATTTCACCGCAACAAGGTTGGAAGATCTGAAACATGCGTATGGCATACGTATGGGTGTTTGCACCATTTTAGAGCCAACCCCCTTATATATCTTATATACCCTCTGGTAATTTAACATAACTATGGAAAATCACCATGTTTAATGGGAAAATCCACTATAAATGGCAATTTTCAATAGCTATGTTAGTTTACCAGAGGGTAGCTGATAATGTCTCCTAGAGAACAGGTGCTCAGCATGGTTCTGTTCATTTGTTCCTTCTGCACGACAAAATCGGACGTGTTTCTGAGGTCTTGCCGCAAACAAAGATGGCTGCTACCAGGCCAGGCTGTTGGTGTTCTTCTATCCAAAAGAATATCCTGGAAGCCATGCCAGAGTCTGGCCCTTGGCACTATAATATTACAACACATAGCCAGCCTTTCTTTCTTGCAACGATCAAAGGCGATGTCTGGACCTCTGAAAGAAGATCCCAATTTTTGGATGGCAGGATCGATGGTCAATGATTTATTTCCACCTCCATAATCTGAATTTGACTGCTAAGACAACACTCTCTGACATTGAATTAAACAAGTTTCCTTCACGGAACAAATCGGAACAACTTACCGTAATTATTTAAAACGTCTATTGCTACTGTAATTTACAAGATTTTCCTGTGGCCTTCCTCTAAACACAAAGCAGCTGCGGCTGAATATCAACTGCTAGTGTAAATTCAATCTTCTGGCAAAGTTTGACATATGTTTGACATGACTGCATTTTCCACACCAACATGAAACCGTGTAGCAATGCTCTAGACCTAGATGGGTTGTATTTGATGGGTTTGATTCGTATGTATTGATCCTAATACCTATTTATCTCTATATATATTATATTATATTATATTATATTATACTATACTATACTATACCATATTGTATTATATTATATTATACTATACTATATTATATTATGTTATATTATATTATATAACATAATATCATATAATATAACATAATATAATATAGTACAAAATAATATAATATAATATAGTACAATATGATATAATATAGTATAATATAATATAATGTAGTATAATATAATATAATACAATACAATATATATATATAGTATAATATAATATAACCTTAATATTGATAAAATATTAATATATTTTAATATAATATAATTTTTTTAATATAATATAGTAATATGGTATAATATAATATAACATTAATATATGTAAAATATTAATATATCATAATATAATATAATATAGTTTAATATAATATAGTAATACGGTATAATATAATATAATATAACATAATATAATGTAATATAATATAACATTAATATAAATATTACTATTCAAAAAAATGTAAAATTTTATAATATATATAATATAGTTTAATATAATATAGTAATATGGTATAATATAACAAAATATAATATAATATGATATGATATGATTTGATATAATATAATATAATATGATATAATATTAAGATTCATATTAGTATTAATATTGATATTACTATTATTATTACTATAAATATTAATATCAATATTAATATAATATAATATCATATCATATCATATCGTATTACTGTATATCACATCATATCATATCATATCATACTATATTACATTATATCATATTATATTATATCATATTATATTATATCATATTATATTATATATTATATATTATATATTATATATTATATATTATATATTATATATTACATATTATATATTACATATCATATATCATATATCATATATCATATATCATATATCATATATCGTATATCGTATATCGTATATCGTATATCATATATCATATATCATATATTATATATTATATATTATATATTAGTTACTATATATTATATATTTTATATTATATATTATATATTATATATTATATATTATATATTATATATTGTATATTATATATTATATTTTATATATTATATTTTATATATTATATATTATATATTATAAATTATATATTATATCTTATATTATATATCTTATATTATATATTATATATTATATATTATATATTATATATTATATATTGTATATTATAATATTATAATATTATAATATTATAATATTATATATTATATTATAGTATAATATCATATAATATAATATGATATAATATGATATGATATAGTATAATATGATATGATATAATATAATAAATATGATATAATATGATATGATATAATATAATATAATGTAATATAATAGAATATAATATAATATAGTATAATATAATACAATATAGTACAATATAATACAATATAATACAATATAATACAATACAATGCAATATAATATAATATAATATAATATGATATAATATAATATAGTGGAAATATATCTAGCTGGGTGCGCCCTCCACAATACAATACGACAAGTGAATTTCTGGAAAGTATAATATAATATAATATCATATCATATAATATGATATAATATAATATGATATAATATAATATAATATAGTAAAATAAAATAATAGTATAATATAACATAACATAACATAACATAACATAATATAATATAATATAATATAAAATAAAATAAAATAATATAATATAATATAATATATTATAACATAATATAATATAATATAAAAAATAATATAAAAAAATAATATAAAAAATAATACATAAAAATAAAAATACATTTAAAAAATACATACAATATTATACAGACAACCTGCAGCCGACACGTTTCTGCATCACTCAGGCGGCCACGAGATTCTGACGCTGTCCAGGTGGAATGGCATCAGGCAAGCAGGATCCACGCACCAGCGGCACCAACAGACCTGAGGTCTCAAGTGCAACCACTTCGTCGATTTGAAAAGGGTGGTTTCCAAGAAAGTGGTAATTTAGCTATTGAAAATGGCCATAGAAATAGTAGATATTCCCACTAAAAATGGTGATTTTCCATAGTTATGTAAACGTTTACCAGAGGGTAATTTAGAATTAAGGCGGAAGCTAACATTGAGAGAGAAAAACGATTTGCCATTATTTCAACAGATGTTTATTTTTTCATCGGTTTGGTTGAAGGATATAAAGTGAAATCCCCAAAATTGAACCCAACAAGAGTTTATCTCAATCCCGTGCCATGTGACATCATTGCCCCTTCCCACAGAAGATAGCCAAGATTCACATCACGACGGCTCGCATGGTTGGCGTGCGGTGGCAACTTGCTCCGATGGTGGTCCAATCTTACACTTTCAGCACAAATGCTTTCGGATGGATCTGTTTTTCACGTTGTTCAAAAAGAAATAGAAAAACTGAAGACAAACATGACAAGTCAGCAAGGCAGCAAAATTCATGACCACGCATATCTTCAGAAAACCGCATGTCATGACATTGCAAGTTCGTGGTAGACAACGGGGCCGTTTTATCAGGCCCTCTCTGAATCATGACGGTTAATTCAGGCTAAAAGACATTGATGTAAAAACTAAATTAGGCTAAAAAAAATGATAAAAAAACACTTACGAATTGTCATGGTTTTCAAATTATTCCGGTTTTTTAAGGTTGTTTTTCCACATTGTATGACTGGAACCGGGTTTCACCCATCATTGACTTTCCTAACATAATTTAATCATCGGTGATGTGAGAACGAACAACACGTGGAGAATTTCCGACAAAAACAAAACAAACAATGTTTCCGCTGAGTTGGTGGTAAAGGGTATTGAAACCAGAACTAATGCTCAACAATCCCAACAAAAATCAGCGTAAAGGACGAAAGCTGGGTAAAGGGAGAAGAAACCACGATGTCCCAGGGATATCCTAAGGATGTCCCAAGATGGCCGGCTTCGCTATCAGTTGCTGATACCATCTGGAGCATCCCGGATGGCCAAAATGTTTCATTTTCCCTGTTTCATACTGATAAGACCAGCGAAGAGTTTCTAGTGACTGGCACATCCCAGAAAGAATTCGAGACAAAAGTACAAAAAATCCTTGCCATATGTTAATGTTCATATATGTTCATGAACACATCGCGTAAAAAATGTGACATGTGTGAATATGTTTTGGTCACAATCATCACGATTTAGCATGTACGCTGCACGTATGGTTGCATGGGTTGTTCCTTGCCTTGCACAAGTTGCATAAGGTTGTGGTTCAAAAAAAAACAAGGTATGAAAGTATGATGGTAAAACCATGGGCTCATCTACCTGGGGATTCCAAAGAATATGCAATTTTTACCTATGAATGTGGTGATGTAAATTTGGTCAAAACAATGGGCCAAACCGGTGGTAAACCTCCAACAAATCTGAAAGCAAACAGAATATGTTTTTTTCGCCCGAATTTTCTACGCACCCTTTATAGAAACCGAAACGATAGAATTTCCACGGGCCGGTCATTTTTCATCCTCCTTTCCAAGAATAAAGATTATTGAACCGAATGTTTTTTGAATTTAAAACAGAAAATCGTATTTTGAGATGTTTTTTCTCAATGTGTTTTTCATATTAAATTATTTCTGGGAAGTGGTGGTAGCGCCTCAAAGTTTCTAGACAATAATATTTAAATCATGTTTTCGCAGGCGCAGTCTCTCAAGGAAACGTTTGTTCACGCCTTCTCTTTTTGACTCGGGGTGCAACGAGGTGAGGTTGCTCCTCCTTGTGTTTCAGCTCGTTGTGCACCAATTTCACTCTGCAGAGAAACTTTGTCAAGCATTCAAAAGCACGAGAGGACCCATCACATTTGGCATCCAGAAAAGGGTGTGTAAGGAAACGGGAAGGTACGTCTGCTATATTGGTTTCGGTTAGCACACGCGCAAACCAAATATTTGTGTTAAAGTGAACCTCGGTCTCCAGGGGTAATTGCATTATCGCACTTGCTACATCTCGCAAGCCAGTTCCACGTATCAGTACAAACTTAACACTGTCATTGTCACCATATAGGACGGGATATGATGAAGCAAGTTTGCCACACCAAACATCCATAGCTATGCACAACGCTAACAGCACAAGTTCGTATACGATTGTCTCTTTGTTGTCAGTTCCCAAGAGATTGCAAATGGCGCAGGGAAAACCAAGCGCAGCATTCTCCAGCAGAATTCACCAAAACGCCGCCCAAGCCGCTCAAGCACGCTTTGTAGTCGCAGGAGACATCAGTGAATATGCACCATTCCCTTACAGTTCTGGCATCTACTCTCTTAGCGTGAATGAACAGCCGAGATTCAGACATGATTTCATGTCCATGTGAAATGGAAAGGATTCCTACACTGACATTTCTTGTCACCTATCATTTGAACCAAAACTTCCGAACTTCGTAGGACTGCTTCTTTCCAGCAATCAGATTGGTTGAACTCGAAAGTCCAGCTGCTGCTAGCCGCATCCTCTTTTTTCTTCTATATCGGGGGAAGTAACGATGGTTGAGATTCGGATATCTCATCTGGTATCTGTACACTGGTAGTTCCAACCTGCTGATCTGCGTCCATCTGTTTGGAGGTCGATTTGGAATGGATCGGTTTCCAGGTCAAGTTGGAATGGTTCGGTTTCCATCTCCCCCCCACCCTGTTGTAGGGTCGGGAGGGCGGGAAAAACAAAAAGATTGATTGTCTGAAAGTTCAGTGATCCCATGTCAAGTATTTCACTTCACTGTCTTGTGTTCTATTGTTGTTGCTGATTGACATGAAGTGACATGGATTGACAAGACTCAGATGTCTTGTATGCCTTCTCTGTCGAAGGTCTTTAAGCCAAAAGTTTTTTGGGCATTCGATGAGATCATCTGAATTTCTCAAACTCTATTCACGGATGTTTCACGTTTCATCGAAACTTGCCGAAGATGAAATTCCAAACTAATTGAATTTCTAATTGTCCAACATCCACAGTTTGTCAATCAATCAATTTCTGTTGTATATATGAGTCTGTGAAGTTTTTGGTCGTTTTGTGGCATGTCCCCAAAACTCTCAAATTACGGTTCCAAGAAAGTAATCTCCACGTTGTGTAAAATCCCTTCTTGTCACCTATCATTTGAACCAAAAACTTCCGAACTTCGTATGACTACTTCTTTCCAGCAATCAGATTGGTTGAACTCGAAAGTCCAGCTGCTGCTAGCCGCATCCTCTTTTTTCTTCTATATCGGGGGAAGTAACGATGGTTGAGATTCGGATATCTCATCTGGTATCTGTACACTGGTAGTTCCAACCTGCTGATCTGCGTCCATCTGTTTGGAGGTCGATTTGGAATGGATCGGTTTCCAGGTCAAGTTGGAATGGTTCGGTTTCCATCTCCCCCCTTTTTTCAAACCGGACTTATGTCGGTTGCGTCGGCTCTGTTCTTTGCGGCTTGTACCAGCCATTCCACTACTCGGTGCTGGCATGAGAATCCTTTGATGAAGTGGGGCCCCCACCTGACGGCAGCTTGCTCACCTGCTTAACCTGGAAGGCTCGTCAGCAGGGTTGCTCTTACTGGGTACCCTTTCTATCCACCAGAATGATGGCAGGTGAACTTCAATCGAGTAAAAGGCCTTGACCAGGTCGTCCATCGAGGGACTGGTGGACCTACCTTTGACGGTCCCCCCTCTTGCTGAATTGTTGTCACAACAAAGGGAAGGACACGGCGATTGTGAAGTTCGCGCATCCACTGCCATCTCACAAGCACCATCGCCAGGAGTTCAATCTGACAGATAAGCTGTTCTCCTACTATCTGTTTCCACAAAGTCAACAAGCTGTCGTGCACTTCGTCTTGCACTACCAAGTTGGATCCAGTGGATTCATCTATGAGCACCGCTCCCATGCCTCCTACTCCATTTTCCCAGGCACCATCTGTGAACACAAGTGCAGTCTTCGTGTCAATGGTGATTGGAATGGTCCTAGGTCGGACACTTTGGAGAAGAACAAGAACCTCTTCGCACCACTCCTTCAATGGTTTGGATTGGAACTTGCCTTTGTCAACCAGGGAAAAGATTTTGAAGCATGCATACTTCAAAGATCTTCCGGCAAAATACCCGGTGGCAAAATTTAGGAGGCCGTGGATCTCCTGCGCCTCTGGCAAACTCATTGTGCCTTCTCGCTGGATCCCTGAAATTTTGGAGGCAATCTTCTCCAATCTTCCTTCTTTATTTTTCAAGGTCACAACTCCTGATCTCTTCAAGTCGGCTAGGTCTAATGTCAACCCCAGCACATCAAAGGACGGCGCAAACGGTTTGCCTTTGGGTCCCGTTCTGTCATGACGCCACCCCAAGAGATCGAGAAAATCTGACACAAGCACATCAGTTTCGGGCGCAGCCTTTTCTGGTGCGAACATGGGGTAATCATCGAAATACACTGCTGAAGGCACTTTCAAAAGAACATTAATCAAGAACCATATCGATCTACTGACCCGGTTGAATGCATACACTGCCGCTGTGGACCCAAACATCAAGGCATTAGGGATATAGTATCTGGCTTTCCCCTCCTTGTCTCTGAAGAACACTACTGCCAGATCTCTATGACTTGGCTTTATGGGCAATTGCTTGTAGGCCTTCGACAGGTCTGAGGTCTTGCCTACCCAATCCAAGCCTTTCGTCTTCCCAAGCTCCAATGTCAAGGCGATCACATAGTCTGCATCTTGTAGGTCTAGTCTGATCGTTGACGTGTATGCCGAATTCAACTGTGCTTCCAGCCCGTCATCTATGGGCCGCAGCTTCGCCCCCTGCTCTATAACAAAGCGCCTCACTATGCCATATGCGCCAGTTAGTGTGGCCGAGGGCATCAGTTACCTCTGCAGCTGAATGGTAAGGCCCATCTAAGAACGACAGGTCAACCTCTTCCTGTGCCGTTTCCTCCAAGTGTTCAGCAAAGCCTGGCGCATCTGTCTGTGGCCTCCTGTTTTCCAAGGCCAGCCTGCAGGGCACTGCCGAATCTCTAAGCTCAGCCTCTGTTGTGGACGCAAGCTTGATCTTCAGAGGATAGCACCTAGGGTGATCATGTGTTCCCACTAGTGGCACTCCTTCCTTCATGAACTGCACTACTTCCATGTCATCGTGGCCATTTTGTTCCAGCAACCTTTGCCAAAGTAATAGTTTCTTTCCTCGAACCACTTTCGCTATCGAGTCGGGAAAACTGTCATGCAACTTCTTCTCCTGACCCTCCAGTTGTTTAGCCAGGATTTTAGCCTTCAACAAGTTCTTTTTCCTTTCTATGGACACAAGTTTTGGGGGGTTGCAAGATACATACTCAATCGCCTCCTTTGTGATTTTCTCCAATGCATTCTCATCCATGGG